ATACCTTCTTTAGTGTCGATGTGGCATGCAGTATGTTGGCGAGACAGAACAGCCATTCAACAAACGCATGAATGGTCATCGAAGTGACTACACCTGTAAGCCCGACCTCCCCGTAAGTCGTCATTTGAGATCACCTGGGCACGCCCAAGCTGATCTCAAAAAACCTTACCATCACTATCATAGACCACAACGAGGGTTGGTCAAGGGCTGACAGACTTGCTCGGGAAAGGTTTTAGAAAAGAAAGCTAAGGACAGTTTCCCCAGAGGGCATAAATGAAAAAAAACATAGAATGAGTCACTCGTGTTCCTTACCATCACTCACTGAACTCTTACAGTTTTAAGGAATTTATTCTTCCTTTCAAACATTAATATTGAAAAAAATTACCAGCGTATTGATTATTGATAATTAGTATAGCGATCAAGATAATTATTTCAGTTTGACTACCACATGTCAAGATAAGATTCATTTTACATCTTACTGATGAAGGATATTAGTTATCCGAAATATCTAACATTTGTTCATGATTTTATTATTTTTTGGTGATGTTGTACCCTTTTAGACTTGTTATATATTTATATTTAATTGCCAATTGCAGTCAGCAGGGTTTAAGAACATCCGTTGTTCGACCTGTTAGTCAGATGCGTTTTGTTTGTTGTTTGTGCTGTATTTAGACGCCTCTAGCAAGAAATTTGTATTCCATGCACACGTATAAAAATTGCGGTTTTTATCCAACGCAATCATAGGTTTGAACGTTGTTTTTAATTTAGACTTATTTATATTTTTTCGTTTGGGCTTGTATTATATTTCCCTTCGGGTTTATATGATCCGTTCATCCTATTTAGACTCTTCAAAATCAAAGAGTCTATCCTAAATTGAGGTAAATTATATGGCCTTCCAAATACCATTTCGATTCCTAACATCACTGAAGAGACATTAATTGTCGAAATCTGGATATGGTGTACAAATTTTTGCACCTCATGTTTGCGGTATACCATCTTTTCCTCAAGTTTATTGTTTTCTGTTTGGTATTAAATTAATAATATAGATCCATTTTGTTACATCTTGTGATCCGTTTATTTGGCAATCGCCAATGGCAGTCAGCAGGGTTTAAGAACATCCGTTGTTCGACCTGTTAGTCAAATGCGTTTTGTTTAAATATACTTTTTCACTTTTTTGGTCTTTTGGAAAATGTTGTTTGTGCTGTATTTAGACCCCTCTAGCAAGAAATTTGCTTTCTATGAACACGTTTAAAAATTGCGGTTTTTATCCAACGCAATCATAGGTTTGAACGTTGTTTTCAATTTAGACTTATACATATATATATATGTAGTGTTTTCAGCCGTGTATCATCTTCACTGGTGATCCAATGCTGTCGTAGAGTTGTCACTTGTTTAGACGTACTTATCATATAATTATTTCTGTGACTGCATCTTACGATCCTTTACGATAGAAATTTAGCTAATCTGCAATCAATTCCATCTTCATGCCTTATATATCATGTACTGTGTTACAACTCTAGATTCTACTGACGAGGAAAGGTAACACTAGGCCACCAAAAGCTGAATTTTTAGTTCAGTCTAGGTGACCGAGTGGTCTAGAGAGTTTGACACAGTGCAGGTGGTGTTGTCTTGATATCCCAATAGCATGAGTTCGAATCCCGGCGAGGGAAGAACAAAAATTTGCTTCCGCAAATTTGCAGATTTAACATTGTTGTGCTGATATTTAGAGTAATTATGAATATAATTTGTGTTTTCAGCCGTGTATCACCTTCACTGCTGATCCAATGGATGGATCTGTCGTAGAGTTGTCACTTGTTTAGACGTACTTATCATATAATTATTTATGTGACTGCATCTTACGATCCTTTACGATAGATAAGTTAGCTCATCTGCAATCAATTCCATCTTCATGCCTAATATATCATGTACTGTGTTACAACTCTAGATTCTACTGACGAGGAAAGGTAACACTTGGCCACCGAAAGCTGAATTTTTAGTTCAGTCTAGGTGGCCGAGTGGTCTAGAGCACTGGACACAGTGCAGGCGGTGTTGTCTCGATATCCCAATAGCATGAGTTCAAATCCCGGCGAGGGAAGAACAAAAATTTGCTTTCGCAAATTTGCAGATTTAACATTGTTGTGCTGATATTTAGAGTAATTATAAATATATATATGAAAACACGGTTAAACAGGCGAAATTATACTCTTGAAGCATCCTTTTCAGTGTTTTGTCAATCTAAAATGTATATAAAGGAAAAATGACAAGATACAGAAATGACACACGTATTGCCTTATGATTAAACAAATTATCAATATCAAAGTAATATGCCAGTACAAAAAACATTAGCTTCCGGGGTAAAAGACATATATTCCGTTTTATTCCGTTTCATTTTTGTCCGAAGGAGTTTCACAAATAGATGTGTTTTTTTTCAACTCAAACACTCGTTCCTCTACTAATTATCACGAAGAACTACTGAAATATATTTTTTAACAAGTTTTTCAAGAAAACAGCAGTTACTTAATCGTTATGGTCTCTCGAGTTATTACTGCAAGAAATAGAACTTATTTTTATCGTATGGAAATTAATTAAATTTCTTTTTTACGCATTGCAGTCTGCGTGTGCATCAAAATTCTTAGAAATAATATACCCACTATTCTAGCCCATAGCGTTTACTGATACGTAATGTGTGTACATGGTTATAATATACGGACTTCCTAATTAGATTTGTTTTCCCAACAAAAATGTCAAAACTTATGAAGGTGAAATCGTCATTACACTCAATAAACAGACAGCATCAAACATCGGTAGACTAATAAGACATATCTTTATCTCAACTTACGAAAAACATGTATTCACTTGGAATAGTTTGGATTTGCATGATGATACATGTACATAGCAGGACACTCTTATCCTATTGACACAAAACTAATGGCTTGATTTGTAATTTATGTGATGCCTCCAGGTTGTCATTCATGGTTGGTCTACTCAAACTGAGTTTATAAGTTTTTAACATTTGAATAATTCTGTCGACTCTTATTTGATAATGAAATTTGTTATGTAGATTTAATATTGAAAAAAAATCATCTAAGATATCATCGCTTAGAATATATGGAAAAACGTACGAAAAAAAACCCAAGACATAGAACAAACTAAATTGCGATGTGTATTCCAACTGTGAAAGGTTGATGTTATTATTTATATATTATTATTCCTAATATGCATGTATGAACTACCGTTATCTGCATCTAGTTATTCGTGATTTTGTATCACTGAAAAATAAAATAATCATTTAAAGATTTACCATTAATACAAAAAAAAAGTAAAGCAGAAATTAATGAAAATTAGAAATGATGCATTTTGTTATTCCTTTAATAAGTGTTGGTGAATCAATAATGTAATGCATAATTATTAGGGCCCCGTCCGTAACAAATTGTGTCCGCTCTATATCTAAAGAACCGTTATAATTTCATACTTTATACTTGACATGTATATTAACCAACACCAGAGGGTGTGTCATAATGTTTGTACAACTTCCTAAGTCAAAGTTCAAGGCCAAAAACGTTGGTTTCAGTTGACAACCCCATGTCTTATAGTAAAGATCGTGTCCGCACTATATCTTGCGAACCGTTATGAAGTCAAAGTTTATACTTGACATGTATATTAACCAACACCAGAGGGTGTGTCATAATGTATGTACAACTTCCTAGGTCAAAGGTCAAGGTCAAAAACTTTGGTTTCAGTTGACAACCCCATGTCCTATGGTACAGATCATGTCCGTTCTATATCTTGAGAACCGTTATGATTTCAAAGTTTATACTTGACATGTATATTAACCAACACTAGAGGGTGTGTCATAATGTATGTACAATTTCCTAGGCCAAATATAACACTTTAACTAAAAAACATAGAATAAAATCACTCTCAGCACATAACGAGACTATGTAATAACTTAAAAAGTGCTTCATATCAGCTTATCCATACAAATGTTTTACCACACGAGATCTGATGCTGATCATTGTCATTATAGTCCTTAACATTTGCTGCAGAATTCATCTTTATGTATTTTTCCATCAATCCATACAACTGGCTTAGTTCTGTTCTCTTGTGAGTAATTATATGTGATATCAGCTTATCCATAAAAAATGTTTACCACACGAAAACTGATGCTGATCATTGTCATTGTAGTCCTTAAAATTTGCTGCAGAATTCATCTTTGTCTTTTTCCATCAATCCATACAACTGGCTTAGTTCTGTTCTCTTGTGAGTAATTATATGTGGAGATATTACTCCACCAGAACATGTTGTGTTGTCACTCTGAAAGATAAAATAAACCAAGATAGGGAGATAGGCAACACAACAAATTTAAACCAATCAAATAATTCAATCTGATGTATTTTTGTCGAGCCTAGGACTACTGACGTATAGATTTCCGCATGATAAAAATATTTACTGTACTTTAAAAATGAACTGTTTTATAGGTAAACACAAGAACTATTTAATCTAGTGAATACAGATACAGTACAAAGTTCCAACAATTTAAATGGCATAATTCTGGCTTGACAAGTAATGCGAAATAACCTGTGTCTATTTCCTGTACCAAGTCAGGAATATGACAGTTGTTATACATTCGATTGATGTGTTTGAGCTTTTGATTTTGCCATTTGATTAGGGACTTTCTTTTTAGAATTTTCCTCGGAGTTCAGTATTTTTGTGATTCTACTTTTTTCAAGAAGTTTTTCTTTCTTTTATATTATATTTCTAAAATTAAGGGTAAAGTGCATCCGGTGTACTGTTTCATAGCACATGTAACCTGCTCTAAGAGATTCAACCACTAACATATTTAATAGTCAAATAGTAACCTGTTATTTACGGCGGGGACCACAGAGATGGCTGCCATCTCAATAATGTCTAATTTGATTTGTAAAACGTCTGATGAAAAAAATAATTCTAATAAATATAATAACTAGAGGGTAAACTATTTTCTTCAATGTTGCAGAACGATGCTTCAGGACAAACTACGTTCAAAGGAAGATGCTGTAATAATGCACTGTGCAAAAATAAAGGAATTACAGCAAAAGTCAAATCAGTTTGAGAGTGACAGCATTAGAATTTCCGCAGAATTTGAGAAAGTCAGCAGGGAGAGGGACGACTTAAAAAATCGGTAAATATGCAATGTTTATTATTGTTCTTTTGCTTTCATTAAACATAGGTTTTATATCAAAAGTTTTTAAAATAAAAAAGATTGATTTGCAAATACCACCGTTCATGATAGATCACTTGAAAAGGGTTAATGCTTTTTCAAAGTAGCATAGATGTCTGGATTGTAATTTTAGAATTAACATACTACACAAAACTGTTTTTCATGTTGTTATATTGAAAATTTAGTGCATATATGAAATAATGGCTATGTAGCTATAAAGGTAGTTCGGGGGTATAGAAAAAAAAATTACAGAATTTTATTATACTTTGTGGACTTAAATTTTGTTGCATGGTTATTGAAAAAATACACTAAAATATGGGGGTCATAGGCCATCCAAGAGATTTTTGATCTCTGACATGAGTGCAAGCTAAAAACCTTTTTGATTGAATATTCACAGCAAAAAAAAAATGACAGGCGCTCATTTTTTCATACTGAAAAGCTTGAGGTCTCTTTTTTCATAAAATTGGAATAAAATTTAGGGGTCACCGGCAATATAGCCTAAGAAAAATAATTTCTTTTTTATGACAGGCTTACCACAGAAACAGACTAAAAAGTAACAATTCAGAAAAAAGCAATCTTTATGAAAGGAGAAGTTTGATATCAACATATCTTTAAAAGTTTCCATGGGAATTCAATAAAATTTGGAAGGGTAATTAGGTACTATGTGCAGAAGCAAAAGTTGATTTCAGGGGTGTTCCATGGTAAAACACGGACTTAGCCCTTACTGCATTTCAAATATCATCAACATGTCGCTTGCAATTTCCATTAGTAAGAATTAATTAAAACTTTAAAGGATTATTTTAAGTATTATTTGTAGATATGCAAGTAGACTAAGAGTAATTTACCAAACTGACTTTGTGGTCTTTTATGGTAAAATGAGGACTTAGCTATGCATGTGTACTCTATATATTTATATATATATATATATATATATATATCTCCTTTCTGAGGAGTACCATGAGATATGGTGTAAATAAGACATTAAGTACATGGAACAGGCATAGATTAATGTGAGCATTTGCTTATCCAGTTCAGCAGTTAGGCTGTGATGGTTGTTATTACCACAAGATTAACTACCTTTCAAAATTCTGTATGTGTGGGGGACGGGGCACTTTAGTCCTTTTTGGTAGGGACATTCAGTTTCTTACCCTTTTCATATATTTTGAATATTTAGAAAAACATACCCTATCATATTTTTTGGCCTAAAAATATAGCTACCATGAATATGTTATTTCCTAGAGAGATAAATATATTTGACATAAATGTATATCTGATCATGATGCATTTACACAGTGGTTTTATTCTCATCTTTGAAAAATACGAATAGTTTCAGATACTTACTATATAATCAACAACGTCATCAGATATTTTATCTAAATGTTTTGACAAGTCCCTTATATATTATCAAACTCGAAATATTTCCAATTCCACAAACTCCTCCGTACAGCTCATTACAAATTAGACACCTCCTCTCCCCACCCCTATAGAGCCTCCCACAAAATATATATTATAAAGTTTTCATAGTTTGCATGGTAAAGCATTGACAAAACAACCATTTTTACAATTGTGATTTGTCATAATTCACATATCTCCTATATGCAGTTTCCATAGGACTTCACTTATTTTTGAATTATTGATTTTAGTGATTCCACAATTGATTACATTATCTGTGGAGGCGGACATTTCGTGTCTCTTTTGTGCACATTAACAAACATAGCTTGTCTTGCATTGATAGATGGTTGTATCTGGGTTGAAAATTGCAAAGATTGAAAAATAACTATCATACCTCCAAAATGATATGAGGGTGGAAATAAGAATGATAGATTTTTCTCATTTATAGATATGAAGTACCACAATTTTAAGTCTTAAAAACCTTTGCCATAGAAATATGTGGATCAGTAATATATCAGATGTTAAATTCTCCAAAAGTGTATACTTGTATATTACTTTAAGTGTGAATTTTTGATTCACTAGTTAATATTTGCTGGCAGAATTGATTCAAAGAAATGTCTTAATATATAATAGATATATATATATATAAACGCCTAAAAAGTGTACACAACAACACCAATAACAAAATTAAAAACCAATTGTTCAGAGAACAATTGAAGGTCTTTCCACATCAATTTTTTAAATAATTGATGAGAAGCTAATTCTGGTTTACTCAAAGCTACTATTGGCGTCCATACATAGTTTTCTTCATACTGATTCAAAAAACATGATTTCTATAGACTTTTGCCTGAAATAAGGGAGATAATTGTCAACTTCCGGTTAAGAAAATATCACTTCCGGTCTCAAATGATAGCTTTATTTACACTGATTCCAAAAATATATGGTTCATATATACTTTTGCTTGTAAAAAGAGAGATAATTGGCTACTTCCGTTTTAGAAAATGTCACTTCCGGTCTCATATGATAGCTTTATTTACACTGATTCCAAAAATATATGGTTTATATATACCTTTGCCTGTAAAAAGGGAGATAATTGGCTACTTCCGGTTTAGAAAATGTCACTTCCGGTCTCATTTGATAGCTTTATTTACACTGATTCAAAAAATATATGGTTTATATAAACTTATGCCTGTAATAAGGGAGATAATATGCTACTTCCGGTTTATAGAATATCACTTCCGGTCTCAAATGATAGATTAATGTATGACCATTCAAAAAATATATGGTTTCTATGTACTTTTGCATGAAATAAGTGCAAAAATGACTACTTCCGGTTCACTCAAGGTCACTTCCGTTTGACATTTTCAAGGTCATATGTCACCCAACATTTTGCAAAAGATGTTATGGCTTTATCATGTACCAATATGAAGAAATAATCAATTTACCTTAAAATAAAACATTTCAGGGGCAATAACTCCAATAAGATGTCGCTGGATTGTCTTAGACCAAATGTATCATATCTTTATCACAATATAACAAACATTTTGCACTTGTTCTTTAATATATAACATTAATAATATCGGAGAAAATGCAAAACCAAGCAAAAGACAAAATTCAGAACATGACCTTGACCTTTGACCTAGACCTCATTTTCGAAGTTAGGATCCAAGGACTTTAAATAAAAAGACTATAGGTTTATACGGCTTACAGTTTATGAGTAACAAAAACATAACGACAAATTAATTTGATAAAGGTAGATAACTCCTTTAAAATTTCATGGAATCGCTTCGATCCAAATTAGCCAAAAATTCCGGAGGATGTAACGAACAATTTAGAAAAAGAATTTTGTCGATATCTTTTTTTGTTACGAAGGAGATGCACACAGATGATAAACAGTGAATAGGGAGATAACTCTTGCAAAGAAAATGGGTCGGCTTAGCAGGGTGAAATTTAAAAGCGCATAAACTATACGATACAATATGAGAAATATCTAAGCGACATATTGCGAAACAAACATTTATCGCAAGAACAAAATTTGGCGGAAGAAAAAAAAAAAATAATAATAATAATCAGAATAAATACAATAGGTCTTTCCACAGAAAAGTGGAAAGACCTAATAATAATAATAATCAGAATAAACAATAGGTCTTTCCACAAAAAAGTGGAAAGACCTAATAATAATAATCAGAACAAATACAATAGGTCTTTCCACAGAAAAGTAGAAAGACCTAAAAAGGAACTATAAATGTAATTATTTACAAATATATCGAATAACAGATATCCTTCATCAGTAAATATGATTGTGATGTTGAATGAATCATATATCAGTCTACTTAGATTAAACTATAACAATCTTGAAATTTATACAATAAAAAAGTCAAACCGAACATCAGGTAAGACGTTTGCTTAATTCTAAATATGTGTTAAACACGACTAAGGTTATATGACTAATTACAACAGAGAGTTCAAATATATGCTTTAAATAAAAATAATAATGTGCGATATAAACGAGCACAATTCTAAAGCTTTAACGGTGTGGACAGTTATGATGTTACAAGAACGATTGAGTCAATAAGAATTCCAAATAAGATCTTCATTTATAATTTTCGATCTGCATTACAGTAGCAGTTCACGTATTCGATTATTATGAATTATATTGTCTTTCTCTCTTGTTTGACGTCAAGAACCAAACTCCATGCAGCGTTATCGTTCGGGTAATGCTTCGGCGTTGGTCAAGAACATTCTCCGTATTTCCAGAACGGAAGTACATTTGCAACAATGAAAATTGCAATAATAAACTTTATAAAGTTTGCAGTTTCCAATTATTCAACTCTTCCTCAATGTATTTAAATAAAATAGATTATTTTAATAATCAAATTTTATTGTTATGGCAAATTACGACAATAAGCATAACTTACGATATCATTGTGCAACCTCCTGCGTATACGGCACGAAAATTCAAACGCCCGAACTACCTAAACGATGTATTATTTGTTTAATTGTTAAACATGAAAACAGGTATAAGAACTATCTCAAAAGTGTTTAGGATAACATTCTTTCGTTACAGAACAGTTTTAAAAGACGAAATACTTTCGGTAGAGGAAATTATAAAAACAAAAGAAAATACATATCAAGTGAATATATTGGAACTACAACAGCAGGTACAGCAATTACAAGCAGAAAAAGGTATCCTTTCAGAAAAGTATGCGAGAATCTGCACAGAGATGGATAACTTTAAAGATGGGTAAATATAACAATGGTCATATTAAAAACTATTTTGATTTCAGTGTTTTCAACAAAAACTAAATTTGTAAATATCATTGTGTAGTATAGGATTTGAACTTGATCATATTTATTTCAATTTAGCATAATCGACCTAACATTAATTTTATAAGTAAAGAACACGTATCATACACGTCTGTTACTCTTAAATTGCATGTTTAATGTTGCATATTTAGTGCAAAGATGTCTATATCATTTCTCAAAAAATACTTTAAATTTTACAATTTGTGTTGGTGGAAGTAATTTAGTTTATTTAAGTGGCATTTAGAGTATTCTATATATTGACAAAAATACCAGACATTCGTTCTTGAATATCACTGAAAAAACATGCTGAACAGAATAATAATTTAGCCGTAAATTTTTAAACCATTTATCTCCACTAAAGAAACTGACTCCCTTTTTTTATATTAAAAAAAACAAGAATAATTAATGGAATAATAATAAAAAATAATTTAGTGCATAGAAATAAAAGGTTATCATTAGACAGGTATCCAATATGATTAACTCAAATGGCCCACTAAAAAATCTTAAGAGTAACGCAATACAACATGAACATTGCATATCTGAATACTTGCGCAAAAAGCAAAGTTACAGACACAGTGTCAATCATTGAGGACTGAGGTGAATAAAATCATGTTGAAGGACTAAAATCGTTTTAGGGATATTGTGAAACGACATAGTATGTATCAAACATGTCTAAAATCTTCCATATTTTTTTAAATTATCAAGATGCAAGCACTCTGAAAGGTTAGTAAACATATTGGTAACTCCTATTAGAAGTTTTTTTTGAGGAAAGTGTAAGATGATAGTTTCATACTTCTTAAATTTTAGACCTTATAATTGGATGACGTGTGTGAGATCAGAATTTTGTCATTGTTTACGCGTAAATAGTAGGTCTAGAACGGTTTAAACGGACTGGCCATGACAAATCAAAAGAAACTGGATAACGTTACTTTAAGAATAATATTTAGTTATGTTAAAGGGGCATAAGATACGGTGTATAAAAAATAAAAATATGATTTTTTGTTTATTCAATTATCAATAAAAGTGAAATAGTAAAATAATAACTCGCTTTTAGCAGCCAGCTTAGTTCATTTTTGTCAAAATTAGCTAAGAAACATCGCTGATGAATCATTCACTTGCAAGTGAATAATTTGACCTCATGGAATCCGTATTCATGTGACCTTCAAACTAACGCCTTAGCTAGAGATGGGTTACGCATAAACTAGGCGTGTTCAGTGATTGAAAGAAAAAGAATGTCAACATTGAAAGTGAAACAAGGATAAACCATTAGATTGATTGATTCGATCTACAAAAACTCATTCTTATACAGGTAAAAACTATGATTAACATATATATTTTTATGCCCCACCTACTATAGTAGAAGGGCATTGTGTTTTTCAGTTTGTGCGTCCGTTCGTTTGTCCGTCTGTCCGTTCATCTGTCTGTCCTGCTTCAGGTTAAAGTTTTTGGTCAAGGTAGTTTTTGATGAAGTTGAAGTCCGATCAACTTGAAACTTAGTACACATGTTCCCTATGATATGATCTTTCTAATATTTATGTCAAATTAGAGTTTTGGCCCCGATTTCACGGTCCACTGAACATAGAAAATGATAGTGCGAGTGGGCATCCGTGTACTATGAACACATTCTTGTTAACCTATAATATGAACTCAAACAGACCTAGAAAAATCCAATTACACGTGTTCGCTATGTATTTATATCTTTATTTATTTGTATTTTGGTTTATATGACCGTCGGTAGTCTTCTTTAGGTCATCTCGATGGTTAATTAGATGGCGTCTAGACAAAAATTCACAAGAAATGCTGACACGTATTATTGAGTCCATGCATCGTAATTTGTTTATTTTATACTTTTTATAAATATGAAATAAGTTTTAGTATGTTATAAATCAATTATAATAAATTGAAGCAAAATGGTGAACATGAATTTGACAGCTATTGCCCCTTTAAGAAAGAAGTAAAATTCGTTATGAGTTAGCTATAAAATAAAATGACAATTTGGTAGTTTATAATCAAGTTTTGTCATGTTATTTCGTTACAAGTTTATACATTTCATATATAACTTTAAATGTGTTTTTTAATATCGAAATATTTATTAGTTTGTTTATTTCTGAATTTTTACTTCATGCTTGCACATAATATGTTTGTTTCTCAGCATTATCACTGGTAACATTCATATATCACAAACATCTTTAAATATGTTTTGGATAACTAGTCATAATTTTGTCCGTTCCTTCGACGGCACATACGAACACCTCCTGAACAATTGATTAAAATGAAGGGAAACTCGTGTTTTTTTTGGGTACATAAGGCATAACCTCCCTCTTTTGTTTGGTTTCCAATAGCATTATATTCGCTTCTTTAAATTAGAAACAACCGTTAGCCTTAATTATTTATACATCAACTATTTATAAGTTGGATAATTATTTGGTTGCTTTTTTGTGACTCATTTTCAATGAAAATCCGGTGACTATTTAATAAATATTATCGGTATAAATAGGATTGTTTTCAAAGAAAATTAGAAAAATAAAAAATCCTATTATAAAGAATAATGCCATGATCAGTATTGTTATTACTAACGTTCTGTGTGCATAATTTTGTAAAAATAGAAATGAATATAGGTATATTATCTTAAAACAATTCTGTATTGAATATTTTAACGTTACAGTACGGTGCGTAAAGAGGAAATACGCTTGAAAGAAGAAATTATAAAAACAAATAATGAGAAAATAAAGGAATTGCATCAACAGACACAGCAGCTACGAACAGAAAATGATGGAATTTTAGAAAAGTATGAGCAAGTCTGCAAAGAGAGGAACGAATTAAAAAATGGGTGAATATACTGTGATTAGTATGAAATATTTGTTTTCACTAAAACGCTTGTTTTATATCACTGTTTTCTATACAAAGTTTGATATATAAATATTGTTGTTTATGATAGCAAATTGTGTTTTAAAAAAAAAGAACTACAGATGTTTTTCATATTTGTATTTTTATATTTATACAGCACATAACTATTAACTAAACTGTCATATTTTTTTATAAAATATTTTGTGGGAAAATGTGATGGGCAGCGATCGAGTACGTTTGCCCACAATCTGCATCATGTTAGAATGACAGTGAGGTTTCTGGAAAAAAAACGTTATATTTATTTAATAAAAGATGAGTATTATTATACGATATAGAAATTATAAATGTGTTACGTTGAGAATTGATTCATATAAATAATAATTAAGTTTCTAATCCCAATTTACCAAATTTGCGACAGTTAGCTGATTAGTTTTAAATCCATATTGAATTATAGAAAAATGGGTTTGAACCGACTTCCAAACGATCCATGATTCTGTAATGAGGAGTACCCAAATTGCATCTATGCTTAAATTCACATCCTTAAAAATCGAATCACAGATGTTGTTTTATTTCTTCAAATATTTAGAATAATTTGACATTAGTCCATGCTTACTATTCATTTTTTGAGAAATGGATGCTTAAAACATATTTTATTTGCTCATTTTTAAAAGATGACTTTTTGCAGACGTCGCATGTCGGCGCTTCCGTAGATTTACTTTTTCAAGTGAATACTTCACCTGTTGATATATACTGTGAACGTTTTGTGTATATTTATATACATTAACTTATTTTGAAAGAAGTATATAATGTCAAATCATAAAAATACAAATGGTTTAGTCTGAAAGAAAACTTGTAAGATTTCCGCTGCCATTTTTGCTGAATAGGTGCAATTTGGGTACTCGGTGCATTTTGGGTACTGTGACGTTACTAATATGTTATTCAAAGATTGTCTGTGATTGCTATTTTGTACATAGATCAGGCCAGTGATTTTTTGTCGTTTATATTGTTTTACACTTTGTCATTACGGGGATTTTAATAGCTTACTGTAGCTTACTGTATTGTATCTGATCATTATGCAAGGTCATACGGTTACCTATCGTTTCTTTAACCTGCTTTCTTTGGCCTTTGATAGATAGTTGTCTAAATCATATAACATCATCCTTCTAGTGTTTATATTGGAAAATTGAAATACACGTTATTAAAACTTTGAGAGACCATGCGTAGTCAATGTATACATTAGATTTACAAAAAGCAAATAATTTCAAAATGCCCTGTATCTTAAAATTTATTGACCCTGTTTTGAGTCTTTTATAATAATAATTCCTAGCACACACATTCTTATAGTATGTACGGAGAATTCATGAAAGTTTGAAAATGTAACATGTAGACTCTATAGCACAAGTGTGAAAGATTATTTAAACTATAGAATTATAGGAAGAAAAGACAATTATCTATTTGCCCCATTTTCTAATTTCATTTTCTTTACTTCAATTTTTATGTGTATACAGAAATTATCTGGCCACATTCGTACTGTATAATTTAGGTTTGCATCTCCTTAGAAATGACATTAGTGTAATGTAATCTTCATTTGAATGATTGTATACTAGTATGACAGTATACTATTGATTGTATACTAGTATGATTGTATACTAGTATGACAGATTCTTTTTTTATTTTATTTTATTTTTTCATTTAAAAACATTATTTTGTAATTATTATTTTTTTCGATTTAGATGGTGGCATCAATAGATGCTTCTAATCTCTTATTTGTCTGACCATAACTGTATTATACTAGGCATGTTTTTGCAAGGGTGTTGTCAGGTTGTCACGTTGTCAGTGAACATTGACCATTGTAAAAACGTATCATTTGAGGTATGCACACACCATACAATAGGATACAGGTAATTTTACTGTTGAGGAATGGGAAAGCTGACAGTATGCACGTGGAAGCTAGAGATAATTTGTCTACTATTTCTACCCCAGGAATAAATTACCTTACCTGATTTGGCAAACATTTCGGAAGTTGGGTTCTCAGTGCTGTTCAACCTCGTACTTGTTCGGCCTTTTAACCATTTTTGATTCGAACGGCACTAATGAGTCTTTTGTAGACGAAACGTGCGTTTGGAGTTCAGAATTTTAATCCTTGTATCTATGATAAGTTTATTGTATGCATCATTTGCAAAATATAGAAATAAGAGTAGGCTTAATTTTGGAAATTAAGGATTATATATTTCAACGTTGTATACAAATGATTACATACGAAATATATTTGACGGAAGAGATTTTAAAACACAGAATGAGAAAAGGAGGAATTAGGGTAATATTCAAATAGATAAAAAAAAAAACAGAAAAAGATAGAATATTTTATATTTATGAAAAAAAGTGCAAAGAGAGGAACAATTACAAAAATGGGTTAATATGATGTGATTATAATGAAAACAATATTTATCTATTTAATTTTCACAGAAACGGTGTTTTCTTATCAATAATGTTAACACAAAATTTTTAATAAATGTCATTTTAACTGGATTATATTCGATGAAATAGACCCACAAATTATGATTATGTTTGCATTTAAATTGAAAGATTTGGTAAACAGTACAAAACTATGAAATTAACTGTCCTCTGTTAAAACATGCGTGTAACTGAGAAAAGCCAATTTGTATTATTTTGAATTATTTGTAAGAAATAAATATATGAATAAAATACAAATCGCTACCTGAATCCAGATTACCTTAGATTGATTTTTTTATTTTTAATGTTCCTTTTTGGTCATACAGCTCTTCAACTGATTCGGCTCTTATAAATTCGTGGCTTTCATATAATCAGTTGTTTGACTGTCCTGATGAAGTTAAATCCAGGAAAGCGTTTTGGACGCAAATAATATAAAGTGTTGTTTCAATATTCTTTTGCAGGTCAATGTTTATGGACGAACTACATTCGAGAGAAGAAAACATAAAAACACAAGAAAAGAAAATACGGGATCTACAGCAGGAATCACAACAGTTAAAAACAGAAAAGGATGAATTTGTAGAAAAATACGAAAAAGTCTGCAAAGAGAGGGACGACATAATAGATGGGTAAACACGATAATGATAATATGTCTTTTTATGCAGAGACTGTGTTCATAATTAGTGCTTTCAGACGAATATGCATTTCATAGTTCAGGATTAACCATTTCAGACACATTTATAACTCTTTGAAGTTACAATGTTTGAATCTCAATCACACAGAAAATATCCGTTCTCATAAACTATTAGTCGTAAAGCTATTGTTTTTATTACATGTTTCTTTTTTTATTAATTAATTTTTCGCAATGCATTAATATCCATGCAGATGCGTATTTTAAGATTGTATGATACTAAACCCCGAACGGGAGGGATTGTGCGTGATTTTTATATGATGAAGACAATCGTTCAATCAGTTTAATTGAGGTCTGGAGCTGGCATTTCAATAACTGCTAGTAGTCCTTTGTTAATTTATGTATCATTGTCATTTTGCTTAGTTTCTTCTGTTACCTATTCCAAAATCGGATTCGGACTTCTTTTAAACTTAGCTGTACTGTGCGTATTGCTGTGTGTTTGTTTTTTTCTACATTGACTTAAGGTATAGGGGGAGAGTTGTGATCTCACAAAACATGTTTAACCCAGCTGCATTTTTGCGCCTGTTCCAAGTGAGGAGCCTCTGGCCTTTGTTGGTCTTGTGTGTTTTTTTCTAATTTTGGTTCATAGATATGTTTCTGAGTTTTGTGTGGAGTCCATTTTCACTGAACTAGTTCACATTTGTGTTTAGGACCAGCTAAAGGCCGCTTCCGGGTACGGAATTGTCTCGCTGTGTTGAAGACCCATTGGTGGCCTTAAGCTGTTTTCTGCTCTTTGGTCGGGTTGTTGTCTCTTTGATAATTCCCAATTTCCATTCTCTATTTTAAAGGTTGAATTCGGAATAAAAAAAAGTATAACACCAAATTAATTGGTCGGAAAATGACAAAGCAAGGCATGTTTTGACTCCTATTGATAAACTATGACATATTTACTTCCCATTACGGGCTTTCATTATGACAGATACAATATGATCTGTTTGCCAGATTGCCATTTTTTTTTATATTTCGGGTATGACATGTACCCTCCTTTCCCTACAAAATAGATTGAGAAGTTTATACTAAACTATCCGAATTAGAAGAAAAGGTAAATACAAAATAAGATATGGGTTAACGGGAACATGGGTTGTAAAGGGACAAATATGCTGTAGAAAAAAAAGAGTGCAGGAAAACGATAAAGGAGTGAAGATTAAAGGATATATAAAATATTAAAAAAAAGACCTTAGTTTTTTTCATAATATCAATTTTTGTTTGAATATTTTATTTACCTATAGTAACATTAAAACAGGATATAACATTTCTGGAAAAAATTATTATAAGCCATTTGAATTGATTATACATAAAAGTTACACTTTTCTGCGATGGTTAATGATGATTTACAATTGTCTTTAACTATAGTGCACTAGTTGAGTTTGAATATGACTCGGGCTTTCAACTGGCTTTCAGTAATTGTGATTAACTTAAAGCGTAATTGCTCGTTCCTTTTTAAAAAGCGTGGGTAAAATCTTAGTACAAAATAGCAGAATATTCAGCCATACGTACCATAAGGAACCTATTTGTAATTATAGGTAACCGCAAGTATATATCAACACGCAACCTTTGTATGCTTATAATATATGTACGCATACAATTTGTGCACATATTTCAATGTGTAATTTATCGTTCTCATTTGGAAGTGTTGAAATTAACACATCGAATATTCTATTTAAATATAAATGAGTTCAACAATGTATCTGCAGGAACCAGTCTATAGAATTGACATTCGAAAATATGGACCGTTCATTAAAAGAAAAAGAAAAAGAAATGCACGTCAAGTATGTTTTTATCATATAATTCACTTTTACGGTTGGGTAAAATGTAGATTCCGTATTGAGTTCAATATAAATAAAGGCAACAGAAGTAGACCTTTGTTCAGTAGTCTTAATTCGATTAAGCAAAAACAAATCCGGGTAACAAACTAAAACCGAGGTAAACACATCAACTATAAGAGGAAAACAACGGAACAAAAGAAACACTGAACTACAACAAAAGCAAACGCCAACATAAATAGAAACGGACTGTAGATTCCTGACTTGGTACAGGACATTTTAAGAAAACAAAAGGTGGGTTAAACCTGGTTTTATGGCTAGCCAAACCTCCCGCTTATATGGCAATGTTAAAAATACCGCTAAAATGACAACACTACTTGACAAGAATACAGTACAAACAACCGCAAGAATACTCGGCACAGAGAAATACAGAGATAAATAAATAAAATTACATTACAACATGTAAACCGCATAATGAGAACGGAGACCTCCCATGAATTTACGACAGCACACCAGGACACCACAAACAAAATATAAACTGCGCGTCACATGAATGGATCAACGTCACAAAAAATGACGTATTATTTGCGACTTTTATATTATCACAGGTAAATTTCTAAAAATAAAATAGATTTGTTTTATCTATAGACATGAAAAAGAATATAATATTGGAATTGAGTTTGTAATGGTGTTATTAGTCCCCTACCGACGAAGTCGAAGGGGACATTAGGTTTGCACTCCGTCAGTCTGTCCGTCTGTCCATCCGTCATTCCGGCAAATCAGCTTTCCACACTTTTTTTCTTCGTTTTTGAAGAAATTGATTTGATATTTAGTATACAGTTTTATCATAACAAGTTATAGATCAAGTTCGAATTTTGTTCCGGTCTGATGAATTAGTCCAGAGTTATGGACCATAACTCTGGACCATATCTAATGTTAGCGTACTATGTTAAACCATATATCTGTTCAAAGGGAGATAACTCATTTTTTAAAAGAAATTCTTTGTTAAATTATTTGAAGAATTTTTTGACAGGTTGGTTTGTTATTTAGTATAAACTAATTTTCTGAGTGCCATATATTTAAAAAAAAATTATGAAGAGAAATCCATTAATTAGATAATAATCTATTTTTATTAATGTATATATTTCAATACATTACATTGTGTAGATAAAAGTTGTTGACATTTTATAGATAAGTTACAAATATATATTAGTTTGTGACAAATGAAAGAAAAAAGTATTTGGAACTATTAATTATATCTGATTATAATTTGAAAATAGATATACACTGTATTACATCATATCTAATTCCAGAGAACTATTAATCATATCTAATTGGTATATATAGTTTTATCATGACAAGTTACAGATCAAGTTCAAATTTTTGTTTCGGTCTAATAATTTTGTGCAGAGCTATTGTCCTTAGACTTGAAAAATTCACTCATATAATCAGTTTTCCACACTGTTTTTAGTCATGCTTGAAGATATTGACATGATATTTACTTTTTGTTTACACCATGACAAGTTATGGAAAAAGTTAGCATTTTGTTCCAGTATAATGAATAATTACCCGGTAATGCAATGCAATACTCTCAGAATGCTTGTTTTTATGTATTTTCTAACCATGGCAAGAATATTAAAATGTACTGGTGTTTGTAATGGTGTTATTATTTGTATTTTCTAACCATATTGGTTTTTCTTTTAAATAAAACTGTGTATTAAAAAAAAAAATTCTTGTGCATATGAACATCATGTTCACTAGCAAAACAGAACAACCAAATATGTTTCTTGTCAATTGATAATTATTGAGGTTTTTTCACACATGATTTAGTAAACTGGAAATTTACAGACGAAATGTATCATTTAAATAAAGTGAACACTGAGTAACTGGCAAATAAAGTAGATTTACAAAATATTTGTTATTTATGACATTTGTAAATATTTTACATGCATAATAAAGAAGCACTTTTGCAAGTATCATTTTTTTATTCTCTAAAAATATTGAAGCAGACATACAAATGATTTTAGAAAAAAATGTTTATAATTGGGAATACATTTAATTTATTATTTCAATAGTTTTAACTTTGTTATATACTTAAATTAATGTATATATAACAGATAGATTTGCAAAACAATAACCGATCTTTTTAGGAACCAAGAATTTCAAAACCAACTGAATGAAAAGGACAGAAGTATATCAGACTTAAACATGATGCTAAATCGACATAAAGAAATAGTATCAGATCAAGAAGAAAAAATTAAAATAATACAAAAGGAGAGGGATGATTTGCAAATTAGGTATAGTTATAACATTGATTCACACATACAGGATTCCTGTCTTTTATTTGGCCCGTTTTTTGTCCTTTAAACAACCAAGGAAATTATCTCTGACATACATGTCTACACTGGTCAGCAAGTGTAAGCATTCTGAAATCAATTGCCTTTTGAAAATACATTTTTTAAATGATTGATTGGCATATCAATCGTCAAATTCACTATTCGCGTGTGTACCATTTAAAAGTTCAAGAATCTATTTCATCCATCATGAATGCAACTCGCACAAATATAGCAGCTATGGTACTAGTAAGTCAGTTTGAAAAATATAAATACTTAGCTGTAATATATAACCACAGTCCTGTCATCGATTTTCACATCAACGAGTGAGACTTATCATTGATTTTGTACATACCATTGGCAACTTAACCGATTTCCCTGGTGGAGCACTTATTCTACCTGAGCACCTAAAATCACACCAGTTTTTGGTGGTTTTCATGTTGCGCAGTCTTTTTTTGTACAGACATTTTTTCCACTTACCTTTTTTCTTTCATTCACTTATATTTTCGATTACATGCTAGACTGAATACCTATAGATCACTTAGTAGATTACTCGGATTTTGAATATTTGCTTATTTTGCTGAGTTGATTGGAACACATAAACTACATCTGTGACAAACTTAATGAATAATTAAAAACAAATGATAACCAACTTATTTTGTAAATGCACAATCTCAATAGTTTACGAATTCAATAATCCGAATTAAATCAAAATCTTCAATTGGTCGGCACCAGTGAAATCACCTTCATGGAACAAGTTAATATATTTATAGGAACCAGTCTATTCAAAAGGTATTTGATAATTACGAAAAACGTATTGAAAATTACCAGAGAGTACAGGCAGAAAAAGAAAGAGAATTGCAAAGCAAGTATGTATTGAGGGTTATAGGAATAACATACAAATGAAATAAAAACCTTGTAACTTTCCCTTAATGGTATTAAAGCTACCTCTAGTATAAATTAGAGAGCTACTAAACAATGATGAAAAACAAAACGCAAATAATGTAGACCAAAACATTTGTTACGGAATAGACCAAAAAACTCTAAAACACCCAGTATTTTTTGTCCATTTATTTTACTATTGTCACCGAATCACCGAAACTACATTATACTATAGTCGCCGTCATGTAAAATTGGATCCAGGTTTTTTATCAAATATTTTCTAACTATCAATCGCGTTCATTCGAGATGACGTTTTTATCTTAGAGGAATATAATATGTTTTCGAAAAACCATCATTGTCCTACCTTTTATTATGATTTCACTTTATAACCCTTGCCTACACATTATCCTAGACGATTTTCAATGGTGGAATCCGACATTGTTTTTTCAACGGAAGTGTTACCGTGGAGTCTCACGTTCAGTTTATTTACATATTTTTGGGACTACTTGGAACTTTTCATCAATTCCAAGGTAAGTTCAGCAAAATATTCTAGAGCAGACGATACGCTACTATAAAGCGCGGGAAACTGTGTCACATCAATGACACGTATATTACCGGAGAGTAAAATGTGAAGGTCATGATAATACAGTGCAATCACAATAAAAGATAGGACAGTAGTGGTATTTTGGAAACATTTTAGGTTCCGCTAAAGGAAAAACATCATCTCGGATGAACGCGATTGATATCTTTAAAGTATAACATGGGTCCAATTTTAAGTGACGGCGACTCTAGGCGATTGGATTAAACTGGTTCAGTTTGATTAACAAAGTGCATGCATTACATACTCTTGTTTCTTTTTAAAAGCTAGTATAAAGTTGATTCACTGATACATACTTCATGTTTCTTCTATCTTTTTTGTCCATTAGAGCCACAAACTACAGACAAACGTTTGTGAAAATACAGAGTACACAATCATAACATACAATAATCGACTTACTTATCATATTTTGGTAACTCGTTTTAAATAATTTTAAGAGGTACGATAGCTGCAAATCATATAACACATTTATTTATAATATGGATAGAGTTCTATTACGCATTAAATCGCAAAAAATGTAGAATCTAGACTCGGTTAACAACAACAGCCGGTTTTTATTAATTAAAAGATATGTTTTATAAGAACAATAGAATGCAGTTGGCCACGGGTCACAACCTATATATAAAAGCCCAATTTGGACCAATAAAAAAAGTTCCGAAGAAAAAACCGTATCACAATATACTTAATTAAATGGAAATACCTATTCAACATAAAATATGATTTAAACAAAAAAAATTAACATGAACACAACCTTTGAATCTACCAATGTGATTACTGAAGACTGGCAATTCAAAAGGACAAAACAAACCAAACAAAGACACTGTTTGACCGATAAGGCAAACAACCTTGAAAAATATATCTTCTTCAAGATTTTTTGCTGGAACCAATTTAAAAAAAAAATGAAAATTAACATGAAATTTTCATTAAATGTGCAAGTGTAAATATGATATTTTTTAGGCAGCAGGCATTTCTAAATCAACTTAAACAAAAGGATTATAGTATATCTGAAATGAATAAGATAGTGAATCACCAAAAAGGCTTGATTTCAGATCAAGAAGGAACAATAAGGGGAATTAGAAAGGAGAAAGATGATTTGCAAACTAGGTAGTATTATAAACTTATTTGCATACTTTGTTTAAACTACAGTCCTACGTCAGTAACATAATATTTTCGAAATTACCGCGTTAGTCTTTTCGCTGTCAAATATTATGGAGTTTATTGTTGATGTGGACAATTCTACATATTTGTGAAAGCTAGGTTAGTACAGGGTTCAATGGCAACGTTCACTCTTTTAAATCTATCAAAGTATGTCCGTCCATTTTTGGTTGATGCGATTCTCAGTCTTCTTTTAAAAATATGGTAATCCTTACCAAATCAAATGGTATTGAAATGATTTCAGTATTTTTCGTCATATGCAGGCTACTTTAAAAAATATTTCAAAGATACCAGGTTCGTAATTTTATACGTCAAACGCGCATTCGTCTACAAACCACTCATCAGTGAAGCTCAAGCAAAATAGGTAAAAAGCCAAATAAAGTATAACTTAAAAAATGAAAAAGCTCGACATTCAAAAGATTTTATATCAACGACAATTTATTGTTTAGCAGATTACAAAAGGTTGTGTATATTAACTACTGTATACCTTTTCAAATAAGTTTTTAAAATACGGCCACAGAAATTTGTTAAAAGGGGAAATTACTTTGCATCAAAAAAGAAATTAACGGAATCTGCAAAAAAGTAAACTGAATAAAAGGTTTACAGTTTTCTTTTTGATCAGATAAAACCAGAAAAGACATTTGAACACAACGCAACAAGTTCGTTATTTTCATACCAAAGTCAAACAGAAAAACATCCCTAAATTTTTGTCTCACCATACATTTCTTGTCGCTACCACTTGACAATCCTGCATATCTCTGTTTCGGAGTTAATATAAGCAATTTCAAAGTACTGGCCTATTAATATGAAATCAAACCACCCAAATTATATTTTTGGCTGCTATATATGGGTATATTTTATTATTTCTGGCTGACATTTACTCCGAAATAATAAATAGTAGAAGAAAATAGGTCGGAAGGCAATTTTATCCAATACAACTGAGGAAACTATAAGATACCTAAGGTGGAAAATATTAAAACAAAAACCATCAATAGTGTTCATTAAATGACAGATAATAAAGTCAAACATTAAAATACTGATCTTGACTGGTAAACTTTTAACGCAAATAAAAAAAAGTTATTCAGTAGTAAAACAATAGTGGAATTGTAGTTTCTGCGTTGAATATATTAGCGTTTTGAGTCAAACTATTTATTGTGAGTACTTTATTACTAATCTTAGCAATATTATTTTAATACGTAGCCAAGTTGCGAATATTAAGTTTCCATATTATACCAACGGTGTACTTTTCTACTAAATGATTACATTTCATATTAACCGTGATTATAGATTTCAGATTTTCCGAACAAAGGAGGCATTGTTTATGACAGATTTAATTTTAACGAATTGGTTCAAATTCTTTGTGGAAACAATGGAGAATCTTTTTTCTGATATTTATGATTTTAGAGGTCAGGCTGTGTGGTTGTCGATAAAAATAAGAATTTTAAAACTGAATATATATCAATCTTTTAAGACCAGAATTTTGCTAAGCACCTGTCCTTCCTCCATGACATATATGTTGTTGTCCCGCTGATAAAACCTCCATACAACATGTTTTGTTGTTGTGAATCACATTTCATAAACTGCTTGATAAAAGAATTAGGTATTGACAATTCACTTGGAACTTTAACATAAACCCATCACCACTAACCAAAGAGGAAATCCTGAATAATCAAATTCATAGTGTCTGTTCTTTGTCCGTATGGAATTTCAAATTAAAGATGAAGAACCAAATCTTCTTTCACTTTATTGGATACCTAATTGGCATAAGTGTCCCTACAAACAACGTTATATTGCTGGGTCTTCCAAGTGCTCCACAAAATCTCTTTCTCTCAACTATTTACAACTTTAAAGCAATCAAACCCGGACTTCAGAGTTTTTATGAAACGTCCTACTATAAGGGCGGTGTGAATCAGATGTGTATATTTAAAAGATTAAAGGATCTGTTATAGTACAATCAATGTAAGTCCCTTTCCTCTTGCAATAGTATAACACATTTGACTTTTCTACCCTCTACATAAGTATTCTCCATTCCATACTTGAATACAAAGTGAAAGAATTTGACCTACTTTGTTTTAGTAGAAGCAAATTCCAACGTAGATACAATTACCATGTTTAAAGGAAGGACAGATCATTCGTTATAAAATTAGAACACTCTTATTAAAACCAAAACAATATTCTAAAACTGAAATTATCACGATGTTTGATATCTCGATTGAAATCATATTCGTTTTGGTGGAGGTGTTTTTTCTACAAATAATTTACATTCCTATGGGAACAAGCTATGCTCCTATTCTTCCAGATTTGTTCTTATATTGATGCGAAGCAGACTACATACACGAGTTTCTTAAGAAGAATGAAAAGATTCTAGCATTATACTTCAACTTCACGTTTCGCTATATAAATGATGTCCTTTCACTAATAATTAAAAATTTGGTAACTATGTTGAACGTATCTATACTATCGAACTATGAATAAAGGATACAGTAAATGGTGCTCAATATCATGACTAACATTTAGAGATTAACAATGTGGGCAGGTAAGAACAGAACTTTACGAAAAAAGAAATGATTTCTGTTTTCAAATGGGAAATTTTCCATTTCTGCGCTTGAATATTGAGTATATTTCTCCCAGTTGATACGCTACGCCAGAGCTACCTTTGTTTTGTACCATGATGTCATAGATAGGGGGTTGCTATTTACAAGGAAGCTATTATTCCAAGGATTCTATGCAATGAAGTTGAATTCATAACTTCGAAAATTTTAAGGACGCAATCACACCAGTTGTAGAATATTTGTTTTACAGACGAAGACGGATAAGTGGCAATTGTCTTAACCACAATCACGTCCTCTTTTCCTCTAATGTAGCATCAATGAATTAGACCAACACTAAATTTGTACTTAAATGAAAAGCACAACAGGCGCAAAATATGAAGCAGGATAAGCTTACCTTTCTTGATCACCCGAGATCAACCCCGGTTTTGGTGAGGTTTCTGTTGATGAGTCTTAACTTGTCTATGTTTTGTTTTGTAGACTGTTGTATGTCTTTTAGTTGTTTTTTTTGTATGTTTTTCTTCGACTTATTAGTTTGAATATTCCTTTGGTATTCCCCGTCTCTCATTGTCAAGTCCAAATTACTTCCCTTTATAGTCTACTTATTTTTTTTTCAAAAACCATTTTAATTTTCAGTCAGGAAAAAGGAACAATTATATATATATTTTTTCCCTTTCCGAAGCAAATTTGAGGTTTTAAGAAATAATATAAAGACTCGAAATATAACAGCCTTGCGTTTCACTAAAATATCAACGATAATAACAAATGCTCATTAATGAAGATAGTTTTCAATTAATTATCAAGTTGAATAGACCTATTTTGGTAAAATGTATGTCAAAGCTACACTGTTTCACAACAATTCTTGGAATACCATATTTGTCATACACGAGGGAGAAGATTTAAGAAAATTACAAATCCATCCTTCCATAAAAAATAATCAAAAAAGTCTTTATACTTGATACCTAAACTTCGCAAAATTCAAAGTCGTCTTTGATGTTCAACTAAACATCTTATAAAGTTTTTCTCATCAGTCTTCTTTCAGAAATACTGTGATAAGATAAAAATCGAGAAGTGTCAAATCAAATGTAAATCCTTACAAATTTTGATTTGGACCATGAACAATTTTACTGCGCGAGGATACACTCTGATCCCAACATCAGATACTTTACGAATGATGTAATCGATATGCTAGACTATTTGATCGACAACATACTTGTCGAATTTGATGGATTGATATTTTAACAAATAGTCGGTATCCTTATGGGTACGTATAATACATCCCTGCTGGACGACTTGATTTTGTTGTCATATGAAACATAAGGAACCTTCTCAAAGACAAACAAGAAAACAATATCTTGCATATTTGAAAAAAAGAAGCAAAATCACAAAAATACTGAACTCCGAGGAAAATTCAAAAATTTAAACGTCACTTCCAAATATAGTGATGATGTCCTGCCCCTTAGTAACCTAGATTACAGTTTATCTATGTGAACTTTGAGATTAAGGGTATTACAGAAACTGTCTGCTACACTTCTTGATTTTCCATAATATTAGCATAGATTGACGACTTAGAATAAGAATCTCTGACAAACCTGATGATTTCAATCATACACATGTCAACTTCCCGTTTCTGAGAAATTTCATACGCATACTCCATTGTATGACGTGTTAATGTCTCAATTTAATCGTAATACTCGTGGATGATCACTCTCTACGGCCTCTATTAAAATGGGTAATGTTGACACAAAAACCGCCCAAATTGTATTTAAGGAAGAACGACGGAAATCGTTACTACAAAGAAAAGACCAATGATTACGGTTCCAAAGCCACGGATTGCTTTAATAATTTTAATTATTAGCAATTTATAGTTTGATTTCATTTTTCTTTACGAACTCGACGAATACATGTAGTCGTATTCTGCAGTTTTCTTGATATTGATGTATGTTGTCTCCATGAATGTACAACGGTCGTTATTAAAGAAAGCATGGCTTTTTGGATCGATTTACTGAAAAGTAATTTAATATGTCGTGTCGGCCAAAAAACTCTTAGTGCATTTTACAATCAAATATTAAGGCTTAAGTGGTTTTCTATAAAAAATGAAAACAGCACGTTATATAAATTTCATGCGTCCGAAGCGCATTTCTGGATAATAATATAACTGCCAAATAGAAGTATATTAACTAAAAACCTTTATGTGCTTTGTTTTATTACAACAACTACTAACATAATTTGATATTCAATTTTAGTAATCCCATCGAATCGAAATCAGAATAATAATTTTCTTTAATGAACCCATTGAGGTACAACAAATACATAATTGTTTTACACTATAACGGCCTTATAACCAAAATTCTACTTTAAGGATGTTGCAACAAAGGAAATATGAATTAATTTAAACTAATATTGATATAGGAAGCTTCATTATTTTTGCATCTATTGAAATTCCAAGATAATTTTATATCGTAAATATATAATATCGGAAACTAAAGGTTAAAATAAACGTCTTATCTACGTTGAAAATTGAAAGGTAAGAGACGAGCCGAGAAAATATTAATTGGGAGAGAGAAATCAAGGTAAGTTTTTGGGAAATTCTACAAAGATTCACAATCGAACCCCAGAGTCGTTGAAACACTCAACAAACAGGTGTCAGGCTTTATCATTCCAGTCATTATATATTTGATATTAAAAAGGTAACCATAGTAGAATATTTTTGAATTAAATTATTTTGTTGTTTATAGAATATTCGCAAACGTTTTGATGAATAATACAAATTTTGAAGGTTGAGCAGTGTTGCAGGTGAAAAATTGACAAAAGGCAATCCATCTATCACAGACCTTGGTGATCCAAATCGTCCAATGAAAATTGGCGAGAAGTATGGCGAGCTGTATGACAACGAATGGACAGATGCTATGGAAAATACTATAGAAGTTAAGAAATACTACCCAGATATGAAAGACAGTGAAATAGAGGAAATCATCATACGACACCTTCACAAACTATTGAAGGTTATATTTCATTATAGTTGTTCTAATGCAAACATGCTTTTTCTTTTGAACACATACAAAGAGCTCTTACATAATTTGTATGCATTCTATTTTTATACTTAAAAATGATATCACAGCAAAAAACCACCCAGAGTGTATTATCTGCAAAGAAACTCGTAGAGTTCTCATTACAAGTACTGCTAATTGACATAACAGACAATATTTTTGGCGATCATAGTGGCATTAAGTTGACTTATATATAAATATATTGAGATATTTCCTTTCGGAACGATAGGTCTTGCATTTGAAGAAACAACCCGAATAATACCAAGTTTCATTAAAAATGTTCTTCTAGCTATAGACATAAAATAATGACCTGTGTCAAACATCTTATTTAAGAATTGAATGCTTTTTTTTTATAGTTATTTTTTTTTTATATAATGAATTTCTTTTTATTTGCAAATGAACATAATAGTAAGTTATACACATTTTATGCACAATATAATATAAAGACAGAAGATATACAACATAATTTAAATTAATAGACACAGCTAAAATAGTTAAATACATTGTAGAATATGATTGAAAGACAGAGGCTGCTTGGACAAAGAATACATATTTTTGATTTATACAACATATGGTGTCTGTTGTTTATCTTTGTTTTTATGATAATAAAAGGGTCCAGGGGTTCCAGCAGTTCTCTGCCCTACTCAGACTTTTATTTTTATAAAATATATTTTTTTCTATTAATAAGTTTTCTTTTAAATGATTTTTTAGTGCTATAATATTGGTTTGTTCCAATGATAATTTGCTTCTATAAATATAGAATTTTGTTAACAGAATTATTTAGTTTCTTATATCATTTTTATCATATTTCGTTAGAAACCAAATAAAACCAAATCTATATTTAAAGTTAGTTCTATTTCTATCTTCTGGAATATCCAGGAGTTAAGGTCCTCCCAAAATTTTGATATATACGGACAAGTCCAGAATATATGTTCTATTGTTTCGACCTCTCCACACCCAAAACTACTCTTATTTGTATCTTTCACTTTTATTTTAAAGAGAAGTTCATTCGTGCCTAAAATTTGATATTTTAGTCTGTATTGAAACCACTGCAGTTTAGAATTCTTAGTAATATAAAAGGGCAATCTATAGATATTTTTCCAATTGTAGTTTGTATTTAGAAGTAAAGACCATTTTTGTTCACACTTCTGTTGAAGATTTGACTTTTTACTATTTAAAATATTATACATATCTTTTGAACCTCTCGGGGATTTGAAAAATATTTTAATAACTGAGGGCAAAACTGGGCCATTTTCTCTCACTAAGTCATTGGGACATATATTATATTCTTTTAAATACTTTTTTATTGCAGAAATTAAGCCTTGATATGTAAGGAAATTAGTTTTGATACTGTATACATTTTTAAAATTATCAAACGTCATGAAATTTCCACGTTCATCTAACAAACCATTAATCAGCCAAATCCCTTTTTTAGTCCATTCTTTATATAAAACTGATTGATTACCAATCTTTATTTCATCATTCTTCCATATATTGCATGTGTTAATTTGAGATTTATCTTGAATATTTTGAAGATCATACCAAGCATCAAATACTTCTTTCCAAAAAGGATTTTTCAGCTTTTTATATGGGCCCAGAAATTGCATTTCCAAAAAATTCAAATTTTCTGAAAAGAGGAATAATTTCACAAGTTTTGAATTATTTTTATTAATTCTTCTTATCCAGGTTAATTTTAAACCTTTTATGTAGTTTTCAATATTTATCATGTTTAGACCTCCTGAACAGTGTGGTTTGGTTAAAATTTCTCTTTTAACTTTATCTGGTTTGTTATCCCAGATAAAGGAGAATATTTTGTCAGTAAAATATTTAAGCTTTGTACTATTTGGACTAGGTATGGATAGGAATAAATGGTCTAATTTTGATATTTTAAGTGTTTTTATCACTGTTATTTTTCCAATTGGGGAGAGTATTTGGTTTGTCCAAGTTTTTTTTAGTATTTTCGATTTCTTTCATCCTGGGGTCATAGTTTAAATTTTCAATTTCATTAAGATCCACGGAGAAATTTATCCCAAGAAGTGTAAATCTGCTGGAACCCCATTCCAAACCCCACTTAATACACATAGTTTTTTGGCTAAACTTTTTCTTCCCAACCCAAACAACCTTTGTCTTGTCTAAATTTATATTAAGGCTTGATAAATCTGCATATTTATCTAGAGTATGGAGAGATGCATCCAAAGATTCTAGTGATCCATCAAGTATAAGAGAAGTATCATCTGCATATTGTGAGATGAGATACTCTGAGTCATCTATAGTAATTCCTTTAATTTGGTCATTATTTCGTATAAGTATACCAAGTATCTCTGCACACAGTAAAAATATATATGGTGACAGGGGATCCCCTTGTTGACAGCCTCTCTGAATCTCAAAACATTCTGAGAGATGGCAATTTTGAGTTACTGCAGATTGAATTTTAGTATAAAAAGTAACGATCCAATGTTTAATAGATGGTTCAAAACTGAAGAAGTCCAATACGCTTTTAATAAAACTCCAAATTGATCTAGTACTTTCACCAATATATCTTCCAGGAATAAACCCTGTTTAATCATTATTTATCAAAAGTGTCAAGATAGACTTCAATCGCTCTGCAATATAGATAGACCCAAGTTTATATATTGTGTTTAAAAGACTTATAGATCGCCAGTTTTTCATATATTGTCTTGGTTTATCCCCCTTTGGTCTACAAGTGATTATTCTCCTTTTTTGAGATACTGACATTTCACCCATATTATAGCCATAGTTGATTGACCGTAGAACAAATTTGCCTAAATCTATCCAAAAGAATTTAAAGAACTCACTGGTATATCCGTCCGATCCTGGACTTTTGTTATTTTTCATTCTTTTAATGGTTGCTGTTAATTCTGAATAAGAAATTTTCCCCTCAAGGGTATCTCTTATTTCATTTGTTAACTTAGGGACATCTAAATATGTAATTTTCGTATTGAGACCAACATTTTCTATTGTATCTTTTTTTGAATATAAGTCCTTATAGAAATTTTTGGCTTTCATTAAAATCTGTTCTTGTTTGTTTATACAAAGACCTTCATTATTGACTATTCTTGGAATTGTTTTATTAACAAAATTCTTAGTTTCTAAATAGAGGAAATATTTGGAGGATCTTTCTCCTTCTTCTACCCATTGCATTTTTGAATGTACATAATGACCACGCATTTTTCCTTGTCTTAAAATTTGTAATTCAGTTTTTTTTTGTTAAGATTTTCTAGAGTTTCTGTGGTTTGTATATTTTCTTCCAATTTTTGAATTTCGTTTACCAGAGCATCTTCGAATTTATTTTTTTCTTTCTTTTTATAAGATGCAAAGGAAATTGTTTTACCCCTAATTTCGGTCATTAATGTTTCTAAGAACAGTTGATCATTTATTGTGAATTGAATATCTAAGGACTCCACCTGATCTAGTGTATCTTTATTGTATACTAAAGTTGCATATTGATCCTTAACTTGTTTTATTTTTTCTTTGACGGTTTCAATATATTCTATATCGTACAGTAAACTATTATTAAAAATTTCCATAAACCCTTCCCAATATTGAAATCACTTATTTTAAAATGTAAAACTATTGGTGAATGGTCAGATCTATAACTGTTTTGATTTCTACTTCTCTTATATTTTGATAGAAACTCTGAGATACAAGAAAAATATCAAGCCTAGCTTGCTTCAGAGGATTAACTTTTCTCCACGTATATCGTTTCTTATCTGGGTAGAATTCTCGAAAGGGATCGATTAGATCATATGTTTCAATAAGTTCGAAGACTTTTTCTCGTGCTCGTGGATTATTTATATTTAAATAGTTGCAAGTATCTAATGCCTGATTTTGGGGGGGAACCAACAAATTTATACCCACTAAACTTTATTTCAACACTCAAAGGGAGACAATCCAAATCCAAACATATTATCTCCCCTTAATTGTAGGATTGCAGAACATTGGTTTTAGTCATTATAGCAATTTATGTGACCTTCCAGGTATTATAGGTTGAACATTATAAAATGTGTGAGTTTTGTTTTGTTCAATATTTTGCCGTCCCATTTGTCTTACTGAGGTTCTTTTAGTTGTTATTCTTATCATTTTTGTTAGTTTTATTGTACAAATAAACAGGGCAAATACAATAAGTTTTATTGGGTGTAAAAACGTTGACCGAAGTACATTTTGTATAAAGCGCGAAGGCACTTCCTTCTAAAGATGTGCGCACGATCAACGTTTTTACAACTCTATAAAATTATAAAAAGTAGCATTAAATTCTTATAATTTATATTTGACTTATACAACCATGAAATTAAGAGTTATATAAAGCTTTTCGTTTGTTTTTATCACATTCATGTGGAGGATTATTCATATACAAAAGAACTTTACGATTTTTTGCTCTTTTTGTGCCAGTTCGTGATTTTTTTTATATTCTTTTGCAATATGTAACTACCAAAATGTTCTCATTTACTTTAAGGGAACAGCCACGTAATTTAATGGTAGTAGGGGTCTATAATGCATTATATTGCCAGGCAAAAGAGAGAAAGCTAGTATTATGAATAAGTTGGAATCGAATTGTTGACGCTATTCTGTTTATCAGCGGTAAAACTATAATGAAACCAGAGAAAAAACATAGCACCCCTAATATATAGTTAATATAATAAATTACCTAACAAGTGATATGTATTTTATATGCACTCAAAAATATTATCAATTGTTTCTTGGTTTATGCAGTAAAATTTTGATTAAATTCGACAGTGATTACTAACGTTTAGATTTAAGTTGGTGAGTTTTGCTTTTCTTTATGATTTAGGCGTTTGGCGTGGTTATAACTTAACGCATAATAATTGAATATGGTACTTTAATGGGATCTGTAAGATGGATACAATTTCTGCAAACAAAAACAAAAAAAAATTGTCAGATAATGCATATCGTAAGATTTTTCCTGTCGTAAAACACACCTTGTGGTGTCATGAATGCCAAAAGAAAGACCTCTTCACGGTCGGTCTTTCGTTTGATCAATCCTGACACACCTCGGTGTGTTATACGACAAGAAAACCTTAAAATATGCGTTAACTATAACATAATTTTCTATTCAGATAAATATGCATCAATGACAATGAAACAGAAAAACACATTTCTTCAAATATATAGGATATTTGTATTTTTAAAACTTGTCGCCTTTATTATAAAATGAGTATAGACAAAACAATCATTTCTTGTACATTCATCATTCTGAGGAAAAATAACTTTTCAGGGTGGAACAGTTTTAATAATTATGAAATTTTGAAATTTCAGTGTTGCTATATAGAATGCATACTGAAAGCAGAAGAGCAAATACATAAACTTGGAGAAGCACTTGCAGAAACAATGTGTTTGACTTTTAAAACGGTATGATTAGTATATATATGTTCTACAAAGGAATTGTCCGTTAGATTAATCATATTTCGGCCACAGTGGAAGAGGGATTACAGAAATACTCTGACACTATTTACTCGCGTAGTGGCATATGTGAATTCTGAAGAAGTCAAAAAGAACTTGTGGAAAATCTCAGTCATTTTCTGAATTAAATTCTATCAAAATCTTCGATTTTTCCACCCTTTACACCACATGAGAAAAATTCAAAACCCAGCAGCTTAGAGAAATAATCCACAATGCTTTCCTCCATAAAAATAGTACCATACACTACAAATTTATTGTTTTGATCTATATGATGGAGTTTCTCATTTGCAACATATTTGTTGAATTTAGAGGTAGAATTTTCAAGCAGGCTGTCGGCATTCCTGTGAACGAATTGGCACCTCTCCTGATTGACCTTTTCTTATTTTCATTTAAGACAGAGTTTCTTTAGACACGTGTAAAATAAATAGTTGACCAGAGAAGCTAGGTTTTTAGTCCCCTACCGACGAAGTCGAATGAGACTTTAGGTTTGCACTCTGTCTGTCTGTCTGTCTGTCTGTCTGTCTGTCTGTCTGTCTGTCTGTCTGTCTGTCCTTTTGTCAGTCCGGCAAGCAGGCAAATCAGTTTTCCACAATTTTGTCTTCGTGCTTGAAGATATGGATTTGATAATTAGTATATAGTGTTATCATGACAAGTTACAGATCATGTTTGAATTTTGTTTCTATCTGATGATTTTGTGCAGAGTTATGGTCCTTGGACTTCGAAAATTCACCCAAAATAATCAGTTTTCCACCCTTAATTTTTTGGTCATGCTTGAAGATTTTGATTTTATAATTGGTCTGTAGTTTTATAATGACAAGTTAGAGATCAAGTACGAAATTTGTTCTGGTCTGATGATTTTGTGCAGAGTTATGGTCCTTGGATTTGGAAAATTCACTCAAATAATCAGTTTCCACATTTTTTTTTGTCATGCTTGAAGATATTGACTTGATATTTGTTATATAGTTTACACAATGACAAGTTATAGATCAAGTATAGCATTTTGTTCCAGTATAATGAAATTTTAACCGGTAGGGGACTCTGTATTGCCATACAATACTCTCAGAATGCTTGTTTATTTTCACATAGAGTTTTATTGATGATGCTTTCCATTAACAATCCAAACTTTTCTGAGTGTCCAATTAATATATCCTCCTGAACTAGGGATTAGAGAAACCACAGATACAGCTTCTTCTGTAACATTTCTTGACATTTGCCTCGGATTTGACAACAGCGGTCATCTCAGTGCCAGAATCTATGACAAAGAAACGATTTCAATTTTAAAGTTATAATTTTTTCTCACCCTAGCAGCAATACACAAACTTCAATCGCGTATGGAGTATACATTTCTCACTTTATACGACATTCAAGAGCTTGCAGCTACTCATACTCTATAAATCGTCATCGGTGTTTGAGCAAAAATTTAATTTAATGTCAGGGTTTTGTCAAATAATGTCACGTCCTTTTTCTCAAAAATGTTATCAGAAAGTACCAAGACCTAATAGAAAATAATTCAGTGTCTACTTCGTAAAGAATACAAGCTTGTCTTCAGTTATAGATTCTAAGTGCAGAAGTTGTGTATCTTTTTATTTTACTTTAGTTTCCCTGTTATTTGTCTTCCTGCTCTTATGTTTCTTTTGGTCGAATGACTTGGTATCTATACATCCCGCCATCAGGTTATTTGACTTTTAAACTTTGGGCATTCTATGTGCAGCTGGATCCTGATGTGCGATTCAAGCACAACAGGTTTTTACATTGTTGTTTCTATTATGTTTACCCTTGATATGTATTACTTAATTTTTACTTCATCGAGAAAGTGTATTTACTATATACGGTATGTACTATCAACTAAAAAATGTTTTGTTGACGTCATTGTCAATTTCAAATCTACTATCTGTACCTTTTTGTTGGCGTCTTCAGTAGATTAATTTTTATGTTTGTTTGAAATTTTAAGTCAGTTGTGTTGTATGTCTGCGATCTATGTTTACATAGTTTTGGCAGCTGGATTCAAATTATTATCACATTAACCCATTATGTCTGTTTGGGTTGTTCATCCAATTTTGTCAATATAAATTAAAAATTAACAACTGTCATACAAGTGTGAGGTTAAGCTAGCTACAAAACCAGGTTTAATCCACCATTTTCTCCAATAAATGTCTGTACTAAGTCAGGAATATTGTTTTTCACTTGTGCTGTGATTGATAGAGTTTGATTTTGTCAGTTTTAATGCACTTCCCCTGTTTGAATTTGCCGTGGAGTTCAATATTTTTGTCATACTCTTTTGTTTGAACTTTCTAACATTTATTTTGCCGTCTCATTAGGTGATTGGCAACTAATGTGAGGAAAACTTGACCATCAGTTGCATTTACTATATATGTATATAAAGCAAAAGTATGGTAAATTTTCAATACGTTTGACTTTGATTTATGACTATTTATTAAAAGTAAAAACTATTTATTAAAATGTTTCCTTCAAATGTGCAGTTCACAAGAAGAATCTTTTTAAATTCAAAGCAATGTAATAGAATAACGTTTCAAAATTATCACATACTACCCAGTTGCCTTTTATTTCAAATAAAGAAAAGTATTTGGGATAAAAAATAAAGGTAAAAGATCGAATTATAAAGAAAATTCAGAAACAAACACATTAAAAATCATAGAAACAGATTTAAGTGCCAAAAAAGACATTCATTTGTATTGTACGATAAACATGGCTTTAAACTGAACTTACACGAACATTTGACCCTCAATGGGATTTTCAAAAGTAATAGCCTAACCCATTCCACATCAAAATTGCATAGTGGGCACATTCGTAGGTTATCTATATAATTTCACATTCCAAAAACAGAAAGACGAAATTGCCAGTTTACCTGTATTAAAAGAAGCATTGGTACTAAGAAGAGCAAAATCTGAACACTTTGCGAAGTTTTTGTTTGAAAATCAGGTAAATAACAATATTTGTCCATGTTTGTGTTCTAATACGAATCGCTTATTTTCACATGCATTTAAGCATTTCATATCTATACTCAACCCTATTTTTGTTTCAAAGTACACTCTCTATTATAAAAAGAGATAGAGCTAACATGAAAATGCAAAGGCCATTTCAGATATTCCAATGAAATAAAAGTTACATGCAAGGTATTCTAATTTGAAGTAGTAGTAGTGTTAGAAGACAAAAAGGAAGAAACCACGGTGAAATCAATCCTATAATAGTCGTATAAAAAAATGTAGAACAAAAGTGATGTTTAAAATGATTTTAAGAAAGGTGTACACATACTTGTAAAGGCAAATCTTACTTAATGAAAAACAACTTTGATTCTGTTTAAGAAAATTATTCTTTTGAATTTGCCTATGCAAATGTTTAACTTTTAATTGGTATCATATCTGAGGGTTGCACTTCTGTAAATATAGACAATGCAATTTCCCACAGGAACTCCTTTTACGGCTAAACCTGTGCCACTTTTACTATTAAGTTTCGTAAAAAATTATATCCTAGAATAGAAAGTTCAATTGTGCTACAATTTTTTTTAAAGGTCAAAATATAGGGCTGTGCGGCATATTTTCAACATTTATATGCCCCGAACTTCTAAGAATTTAAACTTATACTAAAATTCTGTACTACCCCTGCCTTCACTTTTGGTCCTCTTCAGAATTTCGCCGCTATCAGTGTGTATTTATACTGGTAACATTCCCAAGTTATGTTTCTATGAGATGAAACATAGAGATCATACATTTGTATCTGGGAACCAGTACGTAAACAAAACAAAACATCTATCAATATTATATATCTCCCCAAAAGAGGCTTAATTTGTGAAACAGCTGTATTTACAAAGTGCAACCTATAGTCTTACCTCTATCAAATTGATTTTGCAAATTCAAATGAATAATTTGCATTCCTTTATTCCTTTGACGAACTTTTCGTTTCTTTGAACAACAATGAAAGCAGTTGCATTATCATGCAACCCATTATAAAATAGACTATGTGCATTGTCTATGTAAACATTAAATGGTATGCTTCACTGGTCACCCTGCACATTAAATATCATATCCAGCAGTTATTTTCGCAGTCATAACTATACCTATACTGTAAGTAGAAGTATTATTTTAAGGATGCAAACGGGATTCAGGTTTTGATACAGTATGCTTGTTCGAATAGGTTTTAATTTGGTAATATCAACAGTTTTGATGGGCTGAAGACACTTCAATGAAAATTACAATAAGTATCATACACTAAGTTTATTAAAAAAGAATGAAAAAAAATCTCTGTTTAAAATAGAAAGATGTTGTATGATTGCAAATGAGACAACTATCCACCAGACTATTCATTTGATAAAAATCATTATTTTAGATGCTTTGTAAGAATATCATTGCAGACTGGGATTACATCTACAAAAATGAAAACTTGATGCAGATTTTAATCCAATCAACGTTCTTTGAAAAGTGCGTTTGTCTTTGTTGGTGTATGGTAATTCAAGACCCTGTTATGTATTTAGATGACGATCCAGTTTCATACACGCCAATTGATAAAAATACATACAAAGAATTTGTAAAGAGCGGAGATAGCGTTGCCTATGTTGTATGGCCAGCACTGTTTTTACACAAAGGCGGACCTTTACTATTCAAAGGTGTTGTACAAGCGTACTGGCAAAAAGATGAAGATGACAACATGGAAGGAACAAGTGTTTAAAATTGAAGGTTTTTTATATATGCAATGTGAAAGTGCACATCATCTGACTGTGATACATGTTTGTTGATAATGTTTAGGGACTATACATATTTAACATATTCAATTATTAATTCGCATGATAATTTTGACTAGGAAGGAAACTTGAGTGAAAAGTTCTTAATAACCGGTAGTCCAATTTTCCATGTAATTATTCACTCCCAGAGAAAAATAAGAGAGTTGTGAAAAACCGTTGGAATTTGGTTTATATCTACTGTTTCTTGAACTGTTGTTTGTCTTTTCGCAGTATTTCATTTTGGCTTTTGTCACTGGACGTTAAGCAACCAACAATCAATCAATCAATAATTTTTTGACATAGTGGTGTCTGTTCTTTTCATATCCACGGTTTTAAATGACCCGTTCAGTTTTAGAGTATATCTTTGATAAAGACTACAATTCTGCAATATCTGTCGAAATTTCAGTTTTGATCAATCTCAAGTAATGTATTAAGTAAAAAGTTTAGAAGTACACAAAAGTGTGGTAAAACTTACAATTGCACATATAAATTATGATACTGTAAATTTTTGTGAAGGTTGGGTGTCTTTTTGGAAATGACCTTAATGTTTGTGTGATATAAATCAAGAAGAAAATTGGTCGTGCCTTTGTCTTTTTTACTTTTCAAATTCATTGACCATATGGCTAACACGTTTATTTGTTTATTGCAATCAGTCATTTATAAGAAAAAACTTTCATCACTTGAATTTGGCATATTTTGTTCGGTTTATACATGTTTTCGTGCTAATTATAACCGATTGTTAACTACTGCAAAAATCGGGATTAAACTGAGAAAAAAAGAAAAAAAAAAGAGAACTAATGTGAAAACCAGGATTACTGTTGGTTAATTTCTTTCTTATAAGATGAGTTAATTATTGGAGTCTTTAAACTTTCAAATAGGAATTCTTCAGTTCAAGCTATATAAAGGACTTTAATGTGAAAATAAGGTAATGCAGTATGATTCCATTTGAGACAATTATCCACCAAAGTAAAAATGACGTAGATTTTAGCACTTACAGGTCACAGTACGGTCTGAAAAGATCATAAGAAGAAACCAATGGCCTCTTTTGACAAAATAATAGGTGAAACACAAATATGACAGACAGCAACACACCACAACCACTGAATTATAGGCTCCTGACTTTAGATAGGTACATATATAATAAACGTGTTTTGAGCGTTCAACCCTCCTCTAATCTGAAAAAAACTAGTGAAACACCACAACATAAGAACATACTATACAAATTAGTTGGAAATGGCTGAATTTTTCCGATTGTAACGAAGCAAAAATAAAACAACAAAAAAATAATAACAACTATAGATAATTGTAGTGAATAAACCATTTTGTAAAATTTTTACAATATGGTTTATTCACACCAATGATATGATATATGTTTCCACTTTAGATTTTGAAACAAAGAACTATAGATAAGTCAAGCACCCTTAAGAAATTTAACCTATTAATCGATGCTGGGTCAGGTGAGATCAGCCACTTAATTTTTTTGGCATAAAACTATTTTGCATGAATAATGAAATATCAATTCATCCCTCAAAATATATATTTCATCTTACTTTGGTTAAAATTGGGTTAACTCTTTATTTAAAATAATCTTTTATCAGTTATTGCCATATAAAAACAGGCACTGATTGATTATTAGTTTGACCAACCAGGTTTATTGAAGCAGCCTTAGGACTAAGATATGTCCTAAACCATCTAAGGACATATCTTATGATTATCAAACATGCTGCAACTTAGAATACATCTTATTTATTGTTCCAAGTTTAGGACACTACTTTTGGTCTTATGATTGCCCTTACTTTTAGATATATTTAATGATGCTTAATTTGTATCTCAAATCCTCGTGATGGGGCAATAGATTGCTCATCGGGAAGGTTATTTAAAAGTAAAGATTTATACAACAGATACAGTTATGTTTGCCTCATATCTTGAAATTGACAATGAGGGTCGGTTGAAAACAAAACTTTACGACAAAAGAATTGATTACAGCTTCCCAATTGTGAACTTTCCATGTCTATGTAGCAACATTCCAGCAGCGTCTGCATACGGAGTACATATCTCACAATTAATACGATATTCCCGGGCTTGTATTTCCTATCATGATTTCCTTGATAGAGGGTTGCTGCTCACAAGTAAGCTATTAAACCAAGAGTTCCAAATGGTGAAGTTGAAATCATCCTTTCGTAAATTTTACGGACTGTATCACGAGTTGGTTGAGCGTTATGGAATATCCGTTTCACAGATGATAGCGGATATGTTCCTAATGTCGTAACTACAATCCCGTCCACTTTTTACGAATGTGACCTACCGAATTAGACTTGTTACCGGGTTTTATTAACATGAGCAACACGACGGGTGCCACATGTGGCACAGGATCTGATTACCCTTCCGGAGCACCTGAGATCACCCCCAGTTTTTTGGTGGGGTTCGTGTTGCTTAGTCTTTAGTTTTTTATGTTGTGTTTTGCGTACTGTTGTTTTTGTGTTTTCTGTACTAAAACAGTTTATCTATGTATTTTATTTATATGTGAAAGATGCACGAGATTTGCTTTAGTTTGTAATGGTCGAAACTGTGACACATTGAATTCAACTCACCCAAATATATTTCATTATTTCTCCAGATAATTTACTCAGTTTAACAAATTTACACTTAATTTGTTTAATTCCTATAGAAAACTTAGTTATAATGTTTTTGTTCTGTATCAATTGATTCATAAAAGATTAAACTTACAGTCTATATTAATTACTTTTTATCATTATAACAGTACTGTTTATATTTTTTTCAAATTGTTATTATTGTAATCGTTAATTGTAAAGCATTTTTATCTTAATATATACGTCTCTTCCAACACATAATATATCCACAATGCATTATTATTCTTTTAACCAAGCTTTTAATGCTAACCAAGGTTTTGGATGGCAAGAGATAAATCATGATTAATTCATGTTTCTGTTATCATATCTGCTGTTCGTCTTTTAAATGAAAAAAAAAATAAAATAAAAAGGAGCATATTTTGCATCTTCATATTTTCATTATACGGATAATAAGAAGGTAGATTTTTCAAAAAAATATTCTGCTAACAGAAGTCCTTTCTAAACTTGTTAGAATAAATTAATTTCAGCTTCACGCAGGTTCATTACCATGTTTGCATGCAGGTAACATTATGCAAAATTAATTACATTGTGGCAAAATCATTATTTTTTTTATGTCATTATTTACAAGTTTTTAATTTCAGATGCCATTATTGCTATTATATGAAAAAATTAATTTGATCAATTTAATTGCTTTAACTATGTTTTATCAAATATTTGAGGGTCATATAATGTTTTCTTTATTTGTCAAATGTTATCTCGGAACTACAGTCAGAATAAAATATCTGAAAATTAGGAATTCATCATCATTGAAGAATAATTATTTTATCAAACTGTAAAAGTTTGAAATGAAACAAAATATGTTTTTAGTTTTTATTTTATTATGATCACTCACTTGTTTGTCAATATATATATAAAAAAGATGTAATCACAACAAAACTGTTTTTTTTTTAATACTTACATTATCTGAAATATGTTAACTGATTGTGATAAACAGTTTTAAAGTGTCCGATTTAACGTAATTTAATTTAAAAAAACCGCTACAATGGGATTGCAAACATCGGTATTTTTTATAAGTATGAATTCTTTTAACATTAGTAACATAACACATAATGCCTGCTGGAACCATTGAAGTTGCAGTTCAATTTGTTTTAAGATTTACAAACTTCAGGACAAAAAAATATCTGAAAGTATAACCAACTTCAAACACTGTTTTCGTATAGCTCAGTTAGTCATATCATTGTATACAGTAGGAAGATAATAAAATGTATTGTTTTTTTTTCTTCTTGTTTATTATATAATAATGGGAATACTGCTCTTAATCTAACAACAAGGAGATGTTAAGGATTGCCAATGAGACAACTAATAGATTACAATTGACGGTCTTCAACAATAAGCAACCTATACTGAACAATCTGCTATAAAAGACACATACATGACTTAAAGATAACAATTTAATCGAGAAAAGCAACAGCCTTATTTGAGATAGTACAAAAAAAGAAAAAGAATCATGACAGACAGCAACCAGAGATCAACCACCTAATTACAAACTCCTAAATGGGGACATGCACATGGATTAAGCATGATTTGAACGCTCAACCTTCCTATAACCTGGTACAGTACAAGAATTAGTTAAAAATGGAGTTACTCATCAGATTGGCACAAAGTACAAAAAACGTTTAACATAACGAAGAAAGACACAAAGTATCAACCTTATACTCGCAGATGATAAATGCTAGTGACGAAACAAATTACAGCTAAAGAATTAATCATGTTCTTCCGTACTAAAGTGCCAATCAGGATTTTAAGTGTAAAGACGTCATTAACATCAATCAGTGCACCAACGAATGTAGTGTAAAGACGTTATAGACGTCAACAGTTTTAGGAAATAATAACCATATGCAATATTGTGTATAATTTTGATACAATATGAACAAACTGTAGATATAATTGTTCAATGAATCGTATTCAGAATAAGACAGTATGAATGTCTTTCTCTCCTACCCTGACGACGACAAAACATAATAGTTCATATGTTTAAGCTTAATACATATACCTATTTTTTTTGCAACAAATCTACGATATGTATTATCCATTTTTTACTCGCTGCAACATCTTCACAATGGCTACGTCTTGAATTCAACCAAACAATATTAATAAAATTGAGAATGGAAATGGGGAATGTGTCAAAGAGACAACAACCCGACCAAAGAGCAGAAAACAGCTTAAAGCCACCAATGGGTCTTCAACACAGCGAGAAAATCCCGCACACGGAGACGGGCTTCAGCTGGCGCCTAAACAAAAATGTGTACTAGTTCAGTGAAAATGGACGTCACATTAAACTCAAAAACATATAAATGAAATGAAATTAAAAAACATACCAGACTAACAAAGGCCAGAGGCTCCTGACTTGGGACAGGTGCAAAAAAGCGGCGGGGTTAAACATGTTTTGTGAGATCTCAACCCTTCCCCTATACCTCTAGCCAATGTAGAATAAACAAACACATTGCAATACGCACAGTAAAACTCAGTTTAAAAGAAGTCCGAGTCCGATGTCAGAATAGGTAACAAAAGAAACTAAGCAAAATGACAATGATACATACATTAACAAAGGACTACTAGCAGTTACTGACATGCCAGCTCAAGACCTCAGTTAAACTGATTGAAAGATTATGTCTTCATCATATGAAAATCAAGCACAATCCCTCCCGTTAGGGGTTTAGTATCACACCATCATAAAATATATGAGAACATAACCCGTATCATGCCAACAACTGCAATTTTTGAATTTTACAACGTATATTGTTGTTCCTTAATGTGATGCGAGCTCAAGTGTTTGAGACATCTACGGTATTCTTGTCTACACTATGTCTAAACCACTTAATCAATTAGACTTCTTCATTATTTACACAGTATATGATGTATATTGGCTTAAAGGTGGTATATCTGTTAATGAAATAAACACTTTATTGATTTCGTGCGTCCGATAATAAACTTCTTGAAGATACCAGGGTTATATTTTGTACGTCTGATGCGCGTTTCGTCTACAAAAGACTCATCATTGACGCTCGATTAAAAATGTGAATGACTCTACGATATGATACATGTAGCTGTCTCAACTGATGTTTCAATTAAAAAGTAAAATCATTCCCACAGTGGAAATTAAACTCAATCTGATGACCAAATACACAAAAATACTTCTTCGATAACATTACAACCTTTATATTTAAAAAAACCAAAAAGGTTACCAATTTAAAGCTTAACACATAATGTTATTTCTGATTTTGTTTTTACATTTTGTGTTTAATTGGTATGATAAGTTTAATGATAGTGTGCGTAATAAAAATATTTAGATACCAAGGGAAAATAAACATTCATTGGAGGAAAAAGTACAAACAACATAACGACCAAAAGAAAGTAAGATGAATAATCAAAAAATATTTTCAACAGAAGACACACTGATTCTACCTTTACGCTTTATGGTCTCCTATGCTCTGAAAGAGCAGGGCTTTTTGATTTTTTTGGTAAAACAAGTACGGGTATTCATCGAGAAGTCAAAATCTTTGGCAGGGCATCGTACAATATCAGATTGGTAGATGTCACTTGTCTAGACTTTTGCCATTATCAAAATAATGAACTATCAACGAATAAATTAAAATATTGAACCCATGAATATCGTAGATGAAAGATAGAAATGAAATCACTACAACATACCAATGCCAAAACAACACTTATAAAGACACAATATAAGAACATGAAGACATTTTATTGCGCATAGAACCTTTTTCTGAAATGTCATTCGGTATGCTTGATGATACCATTAGTTAAGTTACCAAACACATTATACGTTTGTGGATATCAAAACCAAAGGGCTTTGCTGGAGGGATTTAAACAAAAATGGTGGAATATACCAAAAAGACATTGAAAACTGATAAGTGGGGGGAAGAACTGACAACGCCATAGCAAAAAACGAAAAACAACGAAAAGTCTACATTACATTATATAGAAAACTAATAACTGAGCATCACGAAAATGGAGAGGGAGGGGGGGACACTAAGATGCATTAGTTTTCGCACAATTGTAATTTATATGCTGAAATCATACAATCAGATTGTACTATGTTAATAATCAAATTTCTTAGGTACTAGTTATTAGAGAGTTAACGCCGTGTTTCAGATTTTCTGCTATTCAAACAAAATACAATATAACAAAATTACAGAACCAAAAACAAAAGCAAGAACAACAACGGAAATTCTTGGAGACCTTTTTTTACCAGTTTCGCTAAATAATCCTTTTCTTGATTAAATGTAAAATAAAAAAATAACATCCATCAAATAACCAACTTATATATAGAAATTATAAACGAACCAGTAGTGCATGATAAATGCAGGATATGTTACCTAAAACGGCCGCTTCAAGTGGTATCTCAAACTTTGGACATGTTTGAGAAGGTTGTAAATAAATGTTTTGTCAAATTAATAATCAAATGAATGAATAAATAAATAATAAAATGAACAGATAGACTCATCATTTTTGCTGTATGCATATAATAATTTCAAACTGAAAGGCAAACATGCTCACATTTGTGAAATTTAGGCAACAGTAGTTTAACGATGTTCAAATCTAATAAATCGATTTATAGAGGGTAACTCAATGTAAAAACAAAAACAGAGAAAATTGCACACACTCCAAAATTATCGATACTGGGTCCGTCAGGAATATGGCAATTGTTTTCCATTCGTTTTGTTGGTTGAAAAAGTCTAACGTTTGATTGTGTCTGTTTTCATGGACTTTCCCCATGTTGAATTTACCCTAAGTTTTGTATTTTTGTTAATACTTTTTTTTTACATTTGTGAACTAATCGTCATTTAAAGATAAAAACTCATACAGGATACAATTTATGGTCTGTCATCGTATCATTTTTGTGGATCTTGTATTACTTGTTCCTGATAATTTTTTGGAAAACAAAATGCATTATCGTATAAAATTTCGAAACTAAGGAATGAATTTATCGTTAGAACACGGACGTATAACAGAATAATAAAATGATATCCAATGACATTACTAATTCTATATTTACATTATGATCACATGATACTAGAAATGACATATTTTGTCGTCTACTTCCTTTATTAAACTACGTTGAATGCAAATAGTATGAAGTGCATATTCTGTGGAAGTGTTGGTAAATATGAACAATGTGAAAAATGTTTGTTCAAAGGATGCAAGAAATGTATCGATTCTCACAAAGATTCCTGTATTTTGCTGACGAAAGACAAATATCATTTTTGTACAGGTCACAATGAATATGTGGGTAAATACTGTTTCGATTGTTTTCATCTTATCTGTGAAAAGTGTGTCGTTGGCAACCATTTAAACCACAATATATTACCAATATGCGAGGCTGTCCATAACATCCGTGGTGATATGCAAAGTTCCATAGAAGAACTGGAACTAAAAATAGACCAAGAGCAGAGTGCCATCGATAATGGTCCCAAAAAGCAAACTGAATATAAACTACTGGTAAAGCAGATAGACGTGGAAGAACGAAATATTCAAGAATGTGTAACAAAAACAAAGGCAACATTACTGCGTAACATGGAAAAATTGCAAAAGACAGAAGACGATAAATGCACGGCATCTAAAGACATATTGCCTTCCATGAAGCAAGCAAGGACTAATTTACAATCGGTCAAAGATGAAAAAAATGCTATTTTATTTTTATCTAGATGGTCAAATCCAAGATCTATTATCGAAAAACAAGGACTCCTACAGAAAGAAAGAGAAGCAGATGACAAGGCGAGTGTAATCGGATCAGACATAACACGTCAGTTACTTGATTCATTCATAAGGTATAATAGTAACAATACTAAAGACAGCAAGTACGAAAACGTATCTCATTTCTCACTGAAACTTTAACATATACCGTATATCGGTTTTTCTTCGCGTGTGTTTACTTTTCGCTTTGTTCGCGGCACTTACAGAAACGCGAAAATTTGACCCCGAGTAAATTTCCCTGCCTATTCCTAGATTTACAGCTGTTTAAACGTTTCATAAATAAACTACTAATTATCGAGTTTACATAAAATTGATATGTAAACTCATTTTACCCTAAAGATGAAATTACATTATATATAAAATCAGTCTTTTGTGTTGATCGGTAGATCACAAGAGTGTGTATAATTAATTAAGATATCTGTTTTTATAATAATCAAATTGGCTTATCAAACTTGTCACACCTTTTAACAACACAGCAGACAGTGACATGTTCAAAAATGTTAATTACCGACGTCTATTGATTGTTATCATAACCCGAACATACTACATTTAGTGTAAAAATTAAATTCAAATTAATCACAATTTAACGGATATTTACACAAATATGCTTTCAAAATGCTCTGTTATACCAGCACAAACTTTATCAAAACCTTTATTTTTTACCATACCGCAATTAACTTGATTAAAACGATTATTGAAAGATATCCGAATATAATTATTTTAGTTTGTAGTACACGTATTTATTTGTAATCGATTATCTGTCAGTCAATCAAATTTACTTTGTTTACATCTTTAACAATAGAATACGGTGATTTTTTTCGCGTGTATTTTCCCATTCAGCGAAAAGAGGGACGAAAGATACCAAAGGGACAGTCAAACTCATAGATCGAAAACAAACTGACAACGTCATGGCCAAAAATAAAAAGACAAACAGACAAATAATAGTACAGATGACACAACATAGAAAACTTAAGACTCTTAAGAAAATTATACACAGCGAAAATTTAACTTGCCCATATTGTCATCAAATCGCGAAAAAAAAAGCCGACGCGAAAAAAACCCGATATACGGTATAATAAATTAAGAATTTCGTTTTAGTTCCTTTTTGTTATATAGCTTAAGTATTTATAAATTCTACACTATTGTATTTTTCGGGCATCAATCTCGATGAAAATAAATCCAAAAAAGCAAGTTTGAGGCACCGAATTTATAGAGTGTTACTCTGATTTACCACAGGTCAAAACTTATTTTCGGGTCTTCACTAATGAAACTGTTTTTTTTTTTATTTACTAAAAAAAAATCACTTAATGCTAAATGTTAAATGTAACATCATATCTAAAAATTATTTTGAAATTAGACACAATATGAGTGCATCAAATATTCCTACGATTATATTAATGAAATGCTAAATACGTAGTACATGTATTAATGATGTAGATTATTTTGTTGAAACCTTAAATTTAAGCAATATTCATTAGGCATAAAGCTAGGCAGAACGTCAAAAACATAAAAATTGAGCGGCAAAGATATAGAATCATAGAATTTTTTCAATACTTTTACAATTTTCTCATTGTTGAAGGCCGTACGGTTGCTCATAATTACTTGCATCCACTTACTGGATAGTTGTCTCATTGGCAATAATACAAAATCTCTTTATTCTTATATAAAGAGGATAAAAACCAATGTGAAAATCGCATGAACGCCAAACGGGAAGAGAAATAGTGCGTAGCCAGGCTTAGCTTCTTCTGCCTAGCATGCATCACCACCTATAATAATACAGACTCAGTTACAATGTCGCAATAGGGAATGGCCTAGTGTCAACAAATTTGCAGATCAGTCGACTAATCTATTATCCAAATATTGTGACCACATGTCTGAGTCTCTCGTTAGACGCATCGAATCAATCCACGTGTTACTCATGACAGAATAGAAGGAATGCCAAATATTTGAGACATTCAGAAGGTCCTAGACAGAATGTCAAATATCATCGTATATCAAAATTTACCAGAGAAAGTTGTTATTCAGTTTTATGCCATTTGAAAATTTAAACACAGGAAATTAACAGCGAAACCTGTTAATCTAAAAAGGACATTGGTAATTAAACAGACGTTTTCCTTAATGATGACAGATCAATCGAAGTTCTTAACTGTTAATGGTCTCTGTGTGTAAATGGCTCATCACGACAGTTGGTATGGCATTTTTAAATGATAACTTTAATGTCGAAAGGTGATGTTTGGATAGCAGCAGACGCTTACCCTATCCACACACCCGGTACCGCTCCTTTAGGGGTTGATGCGATTCCCTCAGTTTTTGTTTTTTTCCTTGATTTGTATATTCTTTATCGATGTATGAGATTTAAACATAGGTAAACTACAGCAGCCGGTTGTACGAACGTGTCATTAGGCTAATGAGTCATTAAGTCTTCATTAGCCTAATGCATCATAAAGGCTTAATGAAAACTTAATGACCCATTAGGCTAATGCAACGTTCGTACAACCGGCTGCTGTTGCCTAAATTTATAATTTAATTAAAAATTTTATTTTGTTTTAAAGGGAAAATCAACAGGCGATTTTTCACGTGCTGGATCTTCTACAAAGATTACCCATGTCAATTGAACAGATAAATAATCAAGTGTCACCTATTGATCCAGTAGAATTACCACGTAGGAATGACCGGGATATTGATTCCATTACGGAAAAAGTTGAAATTTTGTGGAACTTTGCTATAAAACTTAAAAATGAATTGTAAGTTGATAATTAAGTTGATAATTAAGTCAAACTGTTACATAAGAGATTTAATAAGACCAAATCGTTCATGTTTGTTTATTTTGTTTATTATTTTTTTCTATTTCGATAAGGGAATAGTTCCATTCTTTTTCTTGGAAGTTTAAGATGATATTTAACATAAAAAATAATGTGAGTAAAACCACGATGATATGGTTGATAACGAATTTTCAAACAAACCAAATAAATTGATAAATGTCTAAGATTCTTATATATATAAACGGCTCCAAAAAATTTTAAGCACACCAGCTGATGCACTTGTTTCTCTTTGCAATAAACAATAAAAAAATGATAAGCAAAACATACTTCATATACCCTCATTTCATTTGAGCATCTTATTACAAAGAGCTGTGAAATGTAACAATGTTGTGCACTATAATAAGAAATGTTCTTACAAACGAACAATATGCATTTCATTGCAAACTGAACTTTTACAGAATAAAGACTAATCAGAATTTAAGACATAAGATTGATTCAGTCGTAAAATGGACAACTCAAGAGACACAAGAAAGGGAAAAGGAAAAAAAAGAGCATGTAAAGGCATTAAAAGATAAAGACAAAATTATGTGAGTGAATATTTTCGACCCTAGATTATCAGTACACAATTATCATGTTTAGTCTAACGTACATCTAGTTAAAAAGATAAAAATATGCTACCCCCTCCCCCCTCCCCCCCAAAAAGAAGAAAAATTCAAGGTCTTTGTCGAGCCCTGATGATTTATCAGAATCTACCAAAGATAATGCCACCATAACCAAATTCACTTTGATATTACATATTTTCTATGATTGCGGTATATTGCGAAAATACTGCGAAATTGCTTTCTTAATCCAGATACAAGGTTTGTGTGTGAAGAAAAATATTGACATTAGGAATTATTTTTCATGTTCGGTTGTACCGTCGTTTCGTCAAGCTAATGTCAAAAAATCAATCACAAGCAGAAATTTGGAAAAAGGACATAAATATACAACTCTTCAATACAATAATAGAAATCACAGATGCATTGCAGTAAATACTCGTTTTTCATTGTGATCTTCCAAAAAGATAACTTCTACACACATGTTTGAAGTGGGCATGCATAAGTATTCAATAAGTTTCATAATTATCTAGCGAAGTCATGCTATAATTTATATCATCTGTTTCGTAATAAAAGTTTTTTATAAACAGGCAAAATACAACCACATAGAAAAGCACTTAACACTAGTTGTATAAATCTGTCTTTGTCATATGTTCAAATCTAGGTTTGAAGAATGTAATGTATTGTCTTCTTGTTCGCCAAAAATATCAATTCCTATTTCTTATTATACATCTTCGCTAGCCAAGTAATGCAACCCAGTCCCCTCCTTTCAACCCTGGGCAGATTAAACCAACATTTGTGATGTCAATGATGTGCCATTTAACGGTATATAAAAGTCACACTCATTCTGACTAAAACATTCTTTACCAATGGCAGCACATGAATCTCTTCTGTATTGAGGTGTAAAAATTGTTTTGTATAGTGTTTATTATTTTCGTGAAGCATAAACGGAAAATATACATTGACATTCCCACATTGCAAAAGAAACATACCCAGGAGCTTCAATTAGTTGATTCAGATTTTCAAAATTGCCACTTAATATAGCCTTATGTTTTGGGGTAAAGACGTGTTGCACAAACATCACGTGGCAATTGTTTATTTACATTTTATACATTTACACGTGGTCATCCTAAAAGCGCGTTTTTATTGGATGCAGCCAGTTACAACTGCTACCAAATGGAAATCACTTTCACCTTGATCCGAAATTATATCTCAATCTGTCAACGGAGGAGAGGAGAGGACTAGATCGTAATCCTTTGCCAGCGAAGATGCTTATTATGTAACATCAATTATTATGATTATTTATACAGTGTTACTGGCCTTTCCTTTCAGTAATCCATCATATACTTATTACTAGTATAAATCTTCTCCATTAAAACAACTGTTCCAAGTAGAACTAAACTGAGCCTGCATCTTTTTAAAAGAATTTACTAAAATGTTATGTCCGATGACTTTGTCTTGAAGCTTATAAGACCGTTATGGCTAAAAAGCACACAACGGAACCATAATTTATCTTTTGTGTTAAAATAATTGTTGATGAATACATCCGCGTGAAACTAAATAGCTGCAACGTTAATAAAAATAGGAAATTTGCCAAAGAATTCAATGAAAGCATCAAAGAAAAATTTCTACCAAACATTGGTAAAATGGCACAACAATGATTTTCTTGGGGAATTATGGCCTAAATCTGCCTTCAAATTTTGGAAATTAATGTATGATTACACTATTGTTTCAGATAAGGGTGAAGGTTTGTTACCATTTAAACGTTTAAACCCGCTGCAATTGTTTGCACCTGTCCTAAGTTAGGAATCCGATGTTCAGTAGTTGTCGTTTGTTGATGTGGTTCATAAGTGTTTCTCGTTTTTTATATAGATTAGACCGTTAGTTTTCCCGTTTGAATGGTTTTACACTAGTAATTTTTTGGGGCCCTTTATAGCTTGCTGTTCGGTGTGAGCCAAGGCTCCGTGTTGAAGACCATACTTTGACCTATAATGGTTTACTTTTATAAATTTTGACTTGGATGGAGAGTTGTCTCATTGGCACTCATACCACATCTTCTTATATCTGTAAATAGTATTTGAATTATATAAAAAGCTATCTTCGTCTTAAAAGTTTTACCAATCATATATCTTATTTATAAAGATATTAAGAAAAATAAATTTCAAAATCGAGCAAGCTAAAATGATAGGTCTTAAAGTATTTTTAACAAACGTCACGACACACAATAACATTTTTGTATTACACAGGACATATATAATTAAAAGTTCCCTCGAGCTTAATCTAGTACATTCCATCGATAGCCCAATGGTCCGGGAAGATATATTAAGAACACAAAAAGAAAAAGTTACAATAGCGGATAACAAAGGACAATAACAAATTGTCAAATTATTCCTCTGGTCCTTTTGACAAAGTGTTCTTGATATAATACAAAGAAATATATTTAAGTGATGTCGTATTTCAAGATTAACAATAACAAAACATAATGTGGTAATAACTCGCAATTTTTATACGTCATTTATAAATAGACAATAGTTGTTAATGGAAGATACAATGTAAACTAAACAAACATATATTAGTAAAAATTAGAATTTTTCTAGTCAGAGATATGAAGTGTTGGCCAAAGCAAAAGATGATGATAAACGAGCTCTTGAAAGTGGGCCAAGCGGTTCCAAAACTTCAAAATTGCAGCAGCACATATTCGACCTTCAAAAAATCATGGCGCAAAACAACGAGGAATACAAGAAAGTATGCATGGAAAGAGATGACCTACGAAACAGGTAAATAATGAAACATTTTGTTCTTGCTAATCTGTAATACATCCAAGTGAATGTTTTCAAGAAAACACTAATTTTCATTCATTTTTCAAACAATAAAAATCACGTTAATGTTGTCAATAACAAACACACTCACAATTAAGAAAAAAATGTTGTGCAAAATTTAAAGTAACAACATTAAGTTGTCTAAAATGATACTAATACTAAATAGCTGGGTTTATTATTTCATGTTTTATTTTCGCTTTGTTATAAATGAACACATGCTGTTGTAATTGTTTACCGTTAGTTAGTGTATTTAAATTGCAGGATGAAAAGTGTTCAGAGGATCTCCCATTTAGAAAATCAAATCGATCAATTACGAGGTTTGGGTATAGAAAAAGACGATGTAATCAAATCCATTAAACAAGAAAAAGAAGAATTACAAACACGGTAACAAAAATAATGTAGATATTAAGTTAGTGTATATAAAATTAGAAGATGTGGTATGATTGCAAATGACACAACTCTCCATCAGAGACCAAATGACGTAGAGGTTATCAATTGTAGATCAGTGTACTTCAACAATTAGCAAAACAAATACCACATAGTAAGCCAAAATGACAAATGTAAAACAATTCAAACACGAAAACTGTCGGTCTGATTTATGTACAAAACAATAAACAAAACAAACAAACAAACAAAAATATGATATACAGCACCAAGCGACAACAATATATAGTAAAAAAATTAGCACAATAAAAAAAAAATTATTGGAATCATTTTTATACAAACAAAAATATCTGAGTGTTTGTTTTCTTTTTCTTAGCCCCACGGACATTAAAAAATATTCTAATATCATAAGGTTTGTTAATTTCATAATCTGTTTAATGTATGTCTGTAATATAACTAAGTATACTAAATAGATCACCAATACCGAAGCCACAATCTTCTTATAAGTAAGTTAAAATTATTTTAAAGCTTAAGACATACAATATTCAAATTGGAATTTCCACATCATTGTTTTCCTATAAATATGTAGATTAAGTAGTATAGCTGGAGACAAATTAACGAAAGGAAATCCATCAATAACTGACCTCGGTGACCCCAACCGTCCAATGAAGATAGGTGAGAAGTACGGTGAGCTGTATGACAACGAATGGACAGATTGCATGGAATTTACTGATGTAATTAAATCCCATTTTGGAACTTTAGAGCACTCTGAGCTAGAAGAAATAATTATACACCATTTGTACAGACTTTTGTTGGTAAGTAATTCCAAGTCATTAGTTAGGACGTAAATAAACGTGTATCCTGATCAGTGATATCCATATGGAATAAAATGTTTCACACAGCAAAACATGATTGATATCTATCTAGGCACAAAATGTTCAACTGCATTGTGACCATTCTATAATTTTCTGTTGAAATTTTAACTGAAACGATTCTAATGATATGAACTGATCTTAATGGACTGCAGAGTAAATACTATTTATTTGAAAGTTTGTTTTTATATGAGGTGATGCGTCTGTTTTTTCCATGGTGATGTTATTTTATGCATTTAAATTTCATCAAAGTCAGTTACTTTCAGACTCATTGATTGCGTTTTATTAAGGCCTGTTTATTGTATATCAGACAGATATTCATATTAGACGTAAGTAATATATGACAACTGCAAGACAAGACAAAGAGCCCAAATCTGCAACAACTTAAATATGTCTTATCAATACGGTATAAAAACAAGGTGATATGGCATAATTGCCAATGAGACAGATTCAGATTCAATAGTTTATTAAAGTCTCACCACATACATACAAGTATAAACACATTATAATATCAAGTACACAATATAAAAATTTAGAATGCATGTGCCATTCTTAAAAGAACTATGAGAGACTGTTATATACAATTATAAAACAACAGAATTAAAACATAATTTTGTTATTTACACAAAACATAAAAGTGCAATATCACCATGCACATTCAAGGATAAAACCTGTTACATGTACATAAAAAATAACAATGATTTTTTAACAGTATAAGATACTATTTCGTCGCAATAAAATATTATGGCAGGTTTTGGCAACAGAACTACAAACATTTTCATTTTTGAATAAAAATATAAATTTTTCATCATCTGACAAAGTTAAAAATATATTATTATGTTGAATTATATCAATAAATAAAGACTGCCTTAAATCTTCATATAATGGACATGTTAACAGTACATGTTTTTCATCTTCTATATTATCACAATTAAAACATAATCTTTTATCTAAATCTAATCTTTCGTAACGACCAGTTTCAATTTTTAAAGGTGCTACTCCACATCTAAATTTCGCATATGCACTGCGATATCGAATAGGTATATTTTGCAACAAATATTGTTCAGTAGAGTATGAAAATTTAAACAATTTATAAGTTCTCAACTTATTTCCTTGACCATAAGAATCAAGCCTTGTACTCCATTCAGTTTTATAATTATCAAAAATATTAACTTCTAACTGATAAATTATATTTTTATCCAGTATATAATCATCTACATTACAAAATCTGTCCATATTGTAAAGTTTCAACATATCTATAACTTTATAACTCCAATTTTTAATTTTATAACTGCTTTTTCTAATTGACCATATGAATACTTTATAATTTATCCTGTTTTTATCCATTTTTGTACATCTTGCCCCGTGTCTTAAAATGTTAGACCACTGTTTAACATATGGAGGCTTCCAACCCATGTCACCTGAAACAGCATCATTGGGGATATACTTTCCAACTCCAATATAAAATCTCATGGCTCGGTTCTGAACTGCTGAGATGCAGGAGAACTCACTTGTACCCCAAATAGCTGAGCCGTAATTGATGACTGACCAAACTAAAGTGTCAAACAATTTGGTAAAAATATTGTGTTGAAAGCCACCATGTGTTTTACATTTTACTATAAGAAGGCATAATGCCCGACTTGCTGACTTTGCAACTGCCTTTGCCATAACTTTATAATCTAAAAATTCATTTAATACTAATCCTAAATATTGATAGCTAGAAACATAATCAATGACTTCACCATTTATATTAAAAACAAAATCTGATCTTATCACAGAGGGGTTTCTAAAATGCATGATTTTTGATTTATATAAATTAACTTTTAAACAATTATCATTACACCATACACCTAATACATTAATCAATTTCTGCATATCTTCTGTATTTTCAGACAATAAAACAAGATCATCTGCATATAATAAAATAGCAACCTTTTCACCGTCAATGTCTATATCAATATTTAATGCTTTTATATCATCAATTAAGTTATTAATGAAAATATTAAACATGACTGTGGATAAAACACATCCTTGTTTCAAACCAGTATTTACACTGAACCAATCAGTAGTATTACCGTTCACACGAACACAGCATTCTATATTTGAATAAATGGCTTGCAAAGCACACATAAACTTTGTACTTATACCTAAATCTGTTAATTTGTTAAACGATAGTGACCTGTCAATTGTATTATATGCCTTCTTAAAATCTACAAAAGAGACAAAAGTTGACAATTTACATTTTTTTCTAGTTTCAATTATTGACGTTAAAGTGGAGACATGGTCAATAGTACTTTGATAAAACCATTTTGTTCATCATTAATTATCTCCCTTTCATCTAACCATTCTGGTAATCTATTATTTAAAACACTACAATAAAGTTTGTATGCACATGGTGCTAAAGTAATACCTCTGTATGACAATGGATCTCTAGGATCAGAAGTTGAACATTTTGGTATTGGATTAATTATACCTTTATTCCAAGTATGTGGAATTTTACTAGATTTAAAACATAAATTAAATAATTTTGTTAAAGTACAAATAACTAAGAAATTTTTACACAATTCAGATTGAATTAAATCTACACCTGGACTTTTATTATTCTTTGAACTCATGACAATATTATGAACTTCATCAAAAGTTATTTCATTATCTAATAAATCAGAAACAATAATATTTTCTAAATTTAAATCTTCTTTTACAAGTTTAGGATCTGAGTTGTTACTCTGATATAACAAATTATAAAAACAATCCTTCCATTTATGCAATACTGAGTTCAAATTGTTTGTTACAGAGCCGTCTGACAGCACAACTTCATTCGGGATAGCCGATTGCCTTTCATTTCCTATACCAATGTTACCAATTTTCCGCCAAAATTGTTTGGAGTCATTATTGTTCATATATAACAAGTCTTCTTAACATTGGTGCCAATAACAGCCTTTAGATTGTTGAACAAGTTTATCAAAGTCCTTTCTCTTGTTCAAAGACAGAGTTCTTAATGCAGATTTATTGCTATTGTTCGTACAACGCAGATACTGGTTCTCGGCCGAACATGTCTCATTCCACTTTGAAGTCAAGTCATTGGACCACCACGGTTTCTTGAAACGTCTTCTTTTATTGTTACAACTATTCAAAAGTTTTGTTTTTGTATTTAGTTTGGAATTCATCTCATTATGCATTATATTAACAAATTCACAATATATATTATCTACATCATCTTGATCACCATTACTTTTTTCTATATCTCTAATACATGAATTTATACTATTAATCACATTTTCATCTTCAAACCAACTATTCGGAATATTTTTTACATCATATATAACACGTTTCTGAACATTTTAATTTTTTACATTGATATTTTCCTTTTCAATATTACCACACATATAAGTTTCCATTTCCCAGTATAATATCGAATGATCAGGAATAAATCTGGGTTCAACTGACCCTATAGAAACACTTTCATTAGCTAATTCACTAGCTCTAATTACTTCAAATTTCTTGAAACAATTTAAATTTTTATATGGTACGACACAATAATCGACAACTGATGAACCCCTTGTTGATATGTAGGTTAAATCATTTCTCATACTATTTCTACCATTTAATACACAACAATTTATATTTGACAAAAAGTCACAAAACAATTCTACATAGCTGTTGGATTTAAAATCAATCACTTCTCGGATAGGTAAATTATCAACTCCTGGAATAAAATCTTCCATTTCTCCTATCCGACTATTGAAATCACCACATATATAGAATGGATATCCATTGGGGATAGAATATATTTGTGACATAAGGGTGTCGAAAAAATCATGTACATTAGTAGATCTAGCTGAAAATTCAGGTGGTAAATATGTAACGCACACATAGAATATATTTCTATTATTTGTTTTATCGCTGAACTTTACCCATATTATTCCATCTGTGGATTTATCTTCAACATTTATGTTAAGTGAACATAGTAATTCTTCTTTAACTAAAAGACCGACGCCTCCTGATCCAGTTTTCGCTCGGGTATGGATATGACTACGATTATTTCCATACCATTTGTAATTGTTAATTTTAATAATATTATTTTTCAAAAGATGAGATTCAGTTATTCCAATCATATGAAGATCTAGTTTTGTAATGCAGTCATTTATTAAAATATTTTTATCGCTATTTGCATATTTAGACCAACCATTAATGTTCCATAACCCGGATTTATATTAATAATGCCTACCATGAGCTCGGCCTCGACTGCCATGATATCGGTCACCATAATTTCCATTAAAAGATCCACCATTAAAATCATTTTTCCTAAAACCATTGTTCATGTCAGTATGTGTAGTGTTACACTGGGGTCTACGAGTCTCTCTTGTGTTGTTCACCTATGTGTTATGGTCTTTGTTTTTATTTTGTTGATGTGCTTGTTGTCTTTTTCTTATTTGCCAAGCCACTGAGGTGAATTCCATGTCTTTTCCGACAGCTTTTAGCAGTCTTCTATTGTTAGCATCGAGTATTCTCTTCTCGATTGTTAAAAAGTTTTCAATATATACATCCTTATATTTCATTTTATCTTTCAAGAGTTTTTTTGCTTTCATTATCTTTTGTTTACTTTCAAAATCCCCCAGTGACACTATGACTACTTCTGGTTTACTTTCAATATAACTCGCTTTGCGCGACACACTTTTGATGTTTACATTTTGTAGTTTCAAAACGTCCTTGACCATTGTTTCTAAATTTAACTTCAAGGCGGTGTCGTGTGAATTTTCCCTAGGGTTCATTGGAAGATTTTTTACCACTATGTCAAATTTACGTTCCACAGATTTTTCGGCGGTAGTGCTTTGTTTTTTTGACACTATCTCATTAAAGGTTTTATCAATTTGTTCATATTTATCTTTTAGATCACTTATCTCATCACGAACCTGTTTGACCTCTTTCTGTACCCGGTCCGTAATTACAGTATTAAATTTTGCTGTCAATTTACGCTCTATATTCCCCTCTATATCACTAATTCGTCTTTCAAGTCTATCTGACATGGTGTCTAAACTGGTTGCCAATTTGCATATCATATTCACCAATTGTTCGTTGTCGTTAGAAAAAGGGTGGTGGTGGACAATGTCACTATCATTTCTACTTTTCTTACATTTCGAAGTCTTCGCAACATCATCATCATCTGACTGTGACAGAGAGCGTTTTCTCGTGGTAGGGTGGTGTTCTAGGGTTGCTTGTGTAGCTATAACTGTTTTTCTAGAGTTTATATTAATATCGACTGGTGTCAATGGGGTTGCCGCCATTACTTTCTGCACGAATCAAGTGCGTTTTCTTGACTTAATGGGTCTACAAAAGTTTCAATTAATTCTGGGTTTGTTTCAACCAACTGACTCCAAATCATTTCTCCTTGATAAAATAACTATAACTGTATTATCTCCTGAATATTTCACTCAAAATTTCAAAATTTTTGACGAGCTCAAATTTTCAACACGTCCTCAATCCAAGGGAGATCATTAGGGAACAACTATCCACCAAAGTTCAAATGAAATGTATGTACGCAACTATAGGCAACCATAAGGCCTTCGACAACGAGAAAACCGTCGTCTATAAGGATTGTGTTATTGTCCACCAAATTTCTATAACTGATAATTATTAATCTAAGGGAATAGTTAATTATATGAACTGCTGTAATATTCTTGTTTTTTTAAGTGCTGCTACAAAGAATGCAGGATGACATCAGAAAATCAAATAAGGACCATTCGGAAGACTATTGCAGAAAACCTGTTTCTTAATACAGAATCGGTATGTATTAAAACTTAAACCGAAGATACCAAAATGGGTTCCTGTTATCACTTTTACATTTTTTAATCTAAAGAAATACTTGTATTTTTTCAGAGTTTTGTGTTTTTGCACCTTGATTTGTATTTTCTGAAAGTACTTATTCCATCTCCTTATGTTATATGATGAGATTAGATTATCGGTAAACAACACTGTTTTGATATTGAGATAAAAAACAATGATTCTACAAACGACATTTAACTCAGTTATAAAATAACCAATATCATCAAATTTGTTGCAATGAATTACCGTGATTTCCAAGAAAAATATTTAAAAAAAACGATTATTTTAAATGTGAAATAAATCTGATAATTTCACTCCTCTAACGTTGTTTGGTGATATTGCATCAATACAACTGAGAAAAAAATCAGAAAAAAACCCTCATAAAAAAAGATATACATGTAGTTCCTTTCAATGTTTATGCCCCTACTAGGGGCATTATGTTTTCCGGTCTGTGCGTCCGTTCGTTCGTTCATTCGTCCATCTGTCCCGCTTCAGGATAAAGTTTTTGGTTAAGGTAGTTTTTGATGAAGTTGAAGTCCAATCAACTTGAAACTTAGTACACATGTTCCTTATGATATGATCTTTCTAATTTTAATGTCAAATTAGAGTTTTTGACCCCAATTTCACGGTCCACTGAACATAAAAAATGATAGTGCGAGTGGGGTGTCCCGCTTCAGGTTCAAGTTTTAATTCAAGGTAGTTTTTGATGAAGTTAAAGGCCAATCAACTTGAAACTTAATACACATGTATCCTATGATATGATCTTTTTAATTTTAATGCCAAATTAGAGTTTTGATCCCAATTTCACGGTCCACTGAACATAGAAAATGATAGTGCGAGTGGGACATCCGTGTACTATGGAAATATTCTTGTTTATACCCGATTACCATTTTTGAGTTCACATTCAATGTGTGAAAAGAAAAACTAATCCGAGAATTAAAATATCAATAAATCTTCAACTCGGTACCGAGGAAAACCGATAATTAACTCATGCACTACGCGCATTCGTCACTCATTCAGTATGTTTCTATATTTGAATTTTGAAATAAGTTATTCTAAAATTGTTTTTTTATCTGTAGGAAAGGGATATAGTGAATGTACCTGGATGCAAAGAAGTTATCTCTTTCAGAAAACAGAACGGAGAGGAATTTTCACAGCAATTGATATCAAAACAGGTACTTACGGTGTACTGTTGCACCACTCTTTCAGGTTAGGAATATGCTTGAGCACTCAAAAACCTGTTTAATCAGTTAAATCCCGACAATTGTTTTATGTGTCAGGAGCCTGTTGTTAAGTGGTTGTCATATGTTGCTATCTGTTATATTTAGATTTCACGTTAGATTATTTTGTCTTAAATTAGGTCGTTTGTTTTCACGTTTGAAGTGTTTCAAATGTTGTCATGTCGGGGCCATTTATAGCTGACTATAAGGTATGTGTTTTATTGAAAGCCAAAACAATTGAAAACCCGAATTAGGAAACAAACTTTGAAGAGCTCATAAAACAAAAAAAGAACAAAAGTAAAGTGAAGCTTGGATCAGGAATCAGAGCTATGCATGAGGAAGATAACTTCATCAATTCAAACTGGTTTTCAAATTTTATACCAGTAAAGTTCATTAAAACGACATCCGTGTTTTCATTTTTTATTCATGCTACTACCAAAGGGTTGGATACGAGGGAAGTGATACAATTGGGGATAAACATTCTACCAGCAGCAGTGGTAGTAATAATATTAACGGTGCAAATGATAATGAATATATAATTGCTCGATGTTTTAGTTCTATTACACATAAAAAGTAAAAGTAACACATACTTTTTATCACATTTCACGAAAAGTTGACTGATTAAATGGACCTTGCCAGTGGTTGTCTAGTGGGATATCTCAACGTTTTTGTAATTTGAAAAATTTGCTATTGGTGCCAAATCTAAAATTGTTTTCGTTTTATAAATGTATAACAATTATACTCTCAGGATGATTTAAAGCTTGACATATTATATACATACCTGTAAATTGTGTAGAATAAGTTTGGTGCTTTTGTTAAGTCTTTCGGTTATTTTCGTCGATGAAATGTTGTGTCGTTTATATTTACCAATATCTCCTTTTATTCCTGATATAACATATTCACATTTCTGATAACAATGCGTAAAAGAATAATTCTAACACTTATCTTTCTAAGGAAAACAAAAATGCAAACAACAACGAGTACTACATGGTTTACATATATGGCATGACTTGACACAATCACCTAAAAGCTACACTCATTACTACATTGCAGAAAATTACTTTGATTTGATGAAAATCAACACATAGTCGGGAACTAAAAATGTATCTTACAAGAAATAAATTAAGCCTAAATGCGTGCAAAATGTAATGGTCATAAAAAATGTGAGAAAAATTCACATATGATAATGTAGTTCAGCGATTTTGACTATATATTTTACGGGATAAACATATAGCAAATCAGTTTTCCTAAACATTTTGCTTTTTAAAATATATTATGTTTTGTATTCATGAAAAAAATGTAATGTTCTTTTCGGTTTCAGAAACTATGTGGAAATGTTATGAAGGACTGGGATTACTGCAACAAAAGTGATATATTAATGCAACACCTAGTAAAAACAGCATTCTTTGACAAATGTGTCCATCTATGTTGGTTTCTGGCTATTCAAGAGCCAAAGATGTTTCTAGACCAAAAACTTCTACCGGGGGAAAAATTTGACAAGAATGAATACAAAGAGTTTGTCAAAAGTGGCGATAAAGTTGGATACATTGTATGGCCAGCACTCTTTTTACACGAAAATGGACCCTTACTCTATAAAGGAGTTGTGCAAGCCTTTATTTAACATTGTTTTTAAATAACTTGTATAAAAGTAAACTATTCACAATGCAATAAACTTAATACTTTAAAGGAAATCTAAGAATATGCAGTTTTAATAAAGATTGTCAAGAAATTTTACAAACAAACGTTTTGTCTTCAGACAAATAAATTAGAAATTCGAATCAGACATTATTATTTATACATATTGTGACGAAGTTTTTAAATTTGACTAATATTAAAATTTAATTCCAAAAGAATGCTTATCATTACGAAAAACAAAGCAATCAATGATTATAGGCACCTGCAAACGAAAAAAAGTAAGGCCACAGCATAGCCAAGCACATATGATACAATTTCAACGAAAACTCCAAAACATGTGATACAAAAAAGAAAAAACGAAAAAAGAATTTGCAGTCAAAACAACACAAAAACGAGCTTGAATTCAGGTGTCAAAGAATGGTTAGTAGTTTGTTTCTATCTACTGGTGATATCAATCATGTTAGGCATCTAGTAATACTTTAAATTAATTTTTAATCAATGATACAGTATGCAACAATACTAAAAATAACATTGATGTGTTAATATATAGGTGTCAGACCACCAATTCACTCCCTCCAATTTAGAACGTATTTAAAAGTTGCCCTACTCTGACACAAAAAAAGTGCTTTTGATGTCATTGTTTACTTAAGATAACCAAGAAATTCGCAGAAATGAAACTTTTGGTGAAAGAGAAAAATATTTAGACCATTTCGAGTCGGAATTTACTTGTCTATGAGTTTGCATTAAAAATTGAGGAGCAGTGCGCTCCATAGAACACTAATTAAAAATTTCCAGAAAACCAGGGGTTATTTTAGTAGTACTTATCTTGTGATTGGCAATTTCTTCTTAGAAGACTTTAAACATGGGTTGACAATTGGCATGTATAAAGGTGATGCATGTACAATTTAGGATATACCTGGTTTCTATGAAGTTGAATTAAGGTAAAATATAAAGGAAGCTGCGAAAATTATAAAATGTTGCTGATGAAGGAATTTTATTTTTAGATATTACCATTAAATTTTGCGGATGAAGATTTTTTAAATTTTAGCCATGATTATGATGTCATTTTCTATTTTCATATAATATTATTATAGTGTATATGAAGGGGGTCAGTGGTAATACATTTTTATACTCAGAATTTGTTATTCTTTGTTTTTTGGTTTTTTTTTGCATTAGAGTTACCTCCCTTACAATGGTTTTGTGATAAATAAATGTTGTATTCTCTTGAGGTGATTAGCTGTCCTATTTTTGTTTATACATTACTTTTAAATGCTGATGAAGGAATTTTATTTTTAGATATTACTATAAAATGTTGCTGATGAAGGATTTTATTTTTAGATATTACTATTAAATGTTGCTGATGAAGATTTTTTAAATTTTAGCCATGATTATGATGTCATTTTCTATTTTAATACTTTTATGATGTATTTAAATGGGTTTTGGTGGTTGCAAAGTCCTAGCAAATTTTGGTTGAATAAATAGGGAATTTGAATTGGTGGTCTGACACCTTTAACGCGAAAAGCGGTGAAACCAAAAATTCAGAAAACTATTGATATTTTTGTCTTAACTGATCATTTGTAATGCAAGTAGCCATATTTCAACCTTTTTTTGGCAAAAAAATCACATTTTTAAAAACTAGAGCCTTAAACCTGAAATTGTGCTATTTTAAGCTTTTTCCACCCTTACAATTTGTATTCATATAAAAAAAATGTCCTAAATAGTTATGAATGCGCAGTAAGTTGTTTCTGTGGTATTAAACATTCAAACATAGGTTGTTTACTACCAAAAATAATTGTCATTAAGATTTTATGAAATTATTTGATTTTTACTCGTTATATCATTGCGTCATTCCATGTATTTGGCAGATAGCATAGCTTAATGTAAACACTGCATAAACTCATCACAATTCCATTAATTGTCTCAAAGGAAAGTTTTCTACCTTAAATTTTCTTGACTGACAGTGAATTAAAATAGATTCATGGCCATTAATGCACTATTGATTAATTAATGGACCATTACTGACACCTGGTGAAAAAAGGGGGGTCAATATTCCTTAACACTTCAATACCTTTGACTTTTTACTAAATTCATTGTAAAAATTGTGGAAAGTCTTTAAAGCAGTAGGATGAACAAGGAAAAATATACCAAAATTGATCTTGATTTTGAAAGTTTATGTTTCTGTAGTCTGAAATTAAATTTTCAAGTATTTTCTATTAAAGTCATACATGACAGTCAGTTTAAATTGAGCTGTGAATTTGCAATATAAGTCGCATTATGCTCAGATAGGACTGTTTTTACTACAAATTGACCAAGGATTAAGAATTAAGCAAATCAAAAGACTTCTAAAAACTTGTTTGTCTCTTTAGGTGTCAGACCACCAATTCACTCCCTCCAATTTAGAACGTATTTAAAAGTAGCCCTTCTCTGACACAAAATAGTGCTTTTGATATCATTGTTTACTTAAACTAACCAACAAATTTGCAGAAATGAAACTTTTGGTGGAATAGAAATATATTTAGACCATTTTGAGTCAAATATTATTTGTCTATGAGTTTGCATTAAAAATTGAGGAGCAATGCGCTCCATAGTACACTAATTTAAGATTTCTAGAAAACCAGGAGTTATTTTAGTATTACTTGTCTTGTGATGGGCAATTGTTTCTTAGAAGATTTTAAACATGGGTTGAAAATTGGCATGTATAAAGGTGATACATGTACAATTTAGGATATACCTGGTTTCTATGAAGTAAAACTTAAGGTAAAAAATTAAGAAAGCTGTGAAAATTGCAAAATTTGGTTGAATAGATAGGGATTTTGAATTGGTGGTCTAACACCTATAACACAAACATTTTAAAACGTCAATGAAGTCGTTTATGCATCACTACAACCTGCTAGAATTGGCGTAAAAAGTACCATCAAGATTTTTTAAAAGATATAGTTGAACTCTTTTATCTTGAAAGTTTCCAATTCTTCCATAAACATAGAATATATGGCGAATGATTGATTAATTGATTGATTGATTGATTGATTGATTGATTGATTGATTGATTGATTGATTGGTTGTTGCTTGCTTAATTCTGTGTCTGGCTAATGCGATCCATGTTTGAATGAGAAAAGAGGCGTTAGTGATTTGAATTCTTTAACATTTTATGAACAAACAATTTCCGTAAACGACTTTCAAGCTGTTTTTTTCAGATAAATTAAAGGAAGCACAAGTAATACCTCTGCATAAAAAATCAAACACTCTAGATAAAGGAAATTAAAGACCTGTAAGTATATTGCCCATGATTTATAAAAAAATTGGGAGGTCTATAGAAACTCAACTTGTGAAATATTTAAATTCTTTTTTTTCACATTTTTCTGTCAGCTTTTCGAAAAGGATATGGATGCCAAACCGCTTTATTAAAAATAATTGAAGATTGGAAAAAGGCTTTAGATCAGAATAAATATGTATCAGCTATATTAATGGACTTGTCCAAGGCTTTTGATTGCCTACCCCATGACCTCCTCCTACTAAAATTAAAATCCTATGGTGTCTCCCCCTATTCTCTTAAACCTTTGGAAAGTTGATTAACTAATAGAAAACAGTGTGTTAAAGTAGGTAATAATTCAAGCTACTGGCAATCAATGTTTAAAGGGGTGCCACAAGGGTCTATACAGGGGCCAACATTATTTAATATTTTTTTAAATGATATTTTCTATTTTATTCATGAAAGTGAACTCTATAATTATGCAGATGACAACACCCTTTCATACGCAGATAAAGACTTAGCTAGATTAATTAATACTCTAGAAGATGAAAGCAAAATTTTGATTAATTGGTTCTCAATAAATAAAATGAAAGCTAATCCAGAAAAATTTCAAGCGATAGCTGTAGGTAAAAAAAGTAAAGACAAAAACTTAATATTTAAATTAGAAGGTGATGATATAGAATGTGAAGATAACATTAAACTTCTAGGTGTAACAATAGATTTTAAACTAAATTTCAATGAAAATGTCTCTATAATATGTAAAAAAAAAGCATCTAAACAGCTAAATGTATTAAAAGAATTGGAAAACACCTGACTAAACTTGGAAAAATTAACAATTTATTATTCTTTCATAATGTCCAACTTTAATTACTGCCCACTAGTTTGACACTTTTGTGGGGAGGTTAACACAAAAATGATAGAGAAAATTCAAGAAAGAGCAATAAGATTTATCTATGAAGACTATTCAGCAAGTTATGAAGATCTACTCTGCAAATCAAAATTACCATGTTTAAAAATAAGAAGAATGCGATCATTGGCTATTGAAGTTTTCAAAATTATTAATAAAGATTGTCCTGTTTATCTCCATGATTTAATACACTTAAAGGAAAACACTTACTCTTTTAGATACCAGAATACAGCCGACCTACCACATGTAAGAACCTTCTACGTAATTTCATCTCTTGTAGAGGGTTGTCTCATTTGCAGTCATACCATATCTTCTTTTTTTATTATAATAATACCCCTTTAAATTCGTGTGCATGCAAACAATCTAATGTGACATAAATGTGGATAAATGCATCCAGTAATTTCGTTTATACATCAAAACCCTTTACGAGGGGGGAAAGTACAAAATCATTTATCGAACATCCTCTCATATAAATACGCATAGAAAGAGGATTTCGATCAATTTCTTCATATTTGATATCATATTCATAGCAAAAAATATAAAAAAAGTGTTACACAAGAAAACCTCGTGCTGATCCCGATACCCTTTCAAAAGTTCTAACAAGTATTCATTTTAAAGTAAACGAAGATCAGCAAAATATTGCCATGAGGTGTAACTTATATTCAACTTTGATTTCATAAAATTTTTAAGATGATTAATATTTTGAAGTTTAATCATTTAAATATTGCAACAGTATTAAAAGCTAATTTTTCCACACGATGCACCACTATCCCTCATCGTCGTCGATATTTTTCATATGTAACTTTCCGTAAAGAAAAGTAAAAGCAAAAACAGGTTCTTTTCCAATCATTGAAATTGTGAGGTAGACGTGTTCTTAAGGAAGGATATCCAGAAAAAGCGATTTGGAGGCACGATTTTTATATAGTAATATTTTCTTTGATGAAGAGACAATAACAAATGACAAATATATTACGTAGTGAAAGCACAATGAAAATTTGGAAAATAACTTAACCTGAAAGTTAACATATGATGCGTGTGATAAACATTCATGTTTGTTTTGTTTTCTTTTGATACAGAAATAAAAATTCAAATTTGGAACAGTTAGAATGTGTGAAAAAAGAAGTTAAACGATTGAAAAAAGAGACTGATGAAATGATAAGAACGCAGACGTGAGTATAAAACTTCAGCTCTTTACATCGACATTAGTATCACAATCATTATGAAAATTTTATTTCTCCTAAAACATAGCAAGGATTTTAAAATTTGTTATTGAATTATCGTTTATAATTTAAAAAGTTTGAAACAAAACAAAAAAGTCAGCTGCATTTGAACATATTCTTACAAACCGTGCAAGTTGTAAAATGGAAACGTTATTCGGTAAGATGAACGAATACTCGCTGTTGAAAGTCCTAATTTAACAAGGCTACCACAGAAGACTTCTTTTTAACAAATTTCAAAGTACACGCCATGATGAAAATAGATTTATTTCAGAAAAATTGCAGAAGGAAAATTGGAGATGTTAAGATCATTAAATCCTCCAGAAGAATCTATTGTACATATGGGGTCAAGAATTTTATCGGGAGTTAAGGTTTCCCTGCCAACTGATAGCAGTTCCATTTCAGATGTTATGGACTTTGTATTGGATCATATCCGAAAACTGAATGAAAGTCTGTATGTTAATTTATATTTTAACGTTATAAAAAATAATATTTTTGTGAAAGTACTGTTATTACTATAATTTTTCATTTCTGATATTTTACATTTCAAAAAATATCATATTTTAGTTGTTATTAAAGAGGATACAAAAAATTAAAATAACTCCGAGAATCATCAAGACATTTGTATTGTTGGATGAAACATTGGGAAAGGATGGATTAGAATAAGTTTGGGTTTCGGGACAAAATGTGAGAAGTATGTGACGGCATCAATTGGTGATTTGATGGTTGCAAATTAAATTTACTGGCGACGCGTTATCGGAGACAGTAAACGGGTATTTGCGACCATCAAATCACCAATTGATGCCGTCGGAGCTTAAAATACAATATTGTTATCTCCATTCTAATGAAACTGACAGAAAACAACGTCAAATCATACATTTAAAATCTGCCATACGTCGTCTGCGCTTGCGCGTACGTTTTCATAGCATCCATTGTGAATAGATGCCATGAAAATTGGTGACGTTATCCAATCAAAATGAACGTTACAAACTATGTTGCATTTGAATAGTGCTCCAAGTATACCTATTTCAATTTATTTCAATTTCATGAACGTCAGACAAGTAACTTGCGGTATTCTTCATGAACAGTGATGAAATATAAGAAATGAAGATAATAAATTATTCTTACTTGCGTAGGTTGTAAGGCAATGTTGCACCGTTGAAATCATCTTTTTTCAACTCTGATGTACTAGAGAGACATAGTTCTCTTAAGAGATAGGGGCAATTTCTCCTGAATTTATTACACACAAGGGTCATTTTAGGGTGTCTTTTAATCTTCATTTTTAAAATTCACAGTATCCTAGCAACATGTCCTTACTTAAAGATTCTAACAAAAGTACTGTTTATTTCTAAACATATCACCCAAAACAGATTGATCAATTTTCAAAATTATTATTTTTAAATCGTGTATAAAAGACATTCTTGAATAAAAAAAAAATGTTGGTAGTGAGGCTTAATTTTTTCTTTCCTGTGTAAATTAATTTATTTTTGTTAGCAACGTACTCGGAAGAATTTTTTACGATACCATGTCAAATTAGCAATATGTTTTAGCAAAACGCATTCTTTGGCAAAATGAGGTGCTGAATAACAACATGAATTTTAGAAATATGTATGTTGAAAATTGTCTAAAGTAATGATAACACTCTATAATGTTATATTTAGTATAGGATTTGACAACTTTTAGATTGCTGAGTGAAATAATGTTAAGGTAAAAGAAATTAATTTTATATTTTACTTGTTTTTGTAATCTTTTAATTTTTCTCCTGTAAGTGCTTTCATACAAAACGTCCTTCAAAGTGAAAAGGTTAAATTGGAAGACCTTACAAATACACAGACGGAGACAAACAGAACCAGTAAACAACTCATACATTTTATCGAGGAACAGAAGAAAAACATGTAAGTCAGATTATTATTTTAAAGTAGTAATTCATTATTGTCAAACAACTTTTTAACTAACCAAATATTTTCATCGAAAACTGGCAATCGTACCCAATTAAGATTATAGTCGAACGCACCTTCTATAAGTGCGGATATGGATCTAATAACGTCAGTGTTTACTGGCTAGTGATACAGTAGTAGGAATACTTAGATCACTGGTCACCGCGGTCTCAAAAAAGTTTATTGATCCATTGTTTGATAATGGTAATTCATTTAGTCAATTGTTAAACACATCTGCTACAGCTTTTCAGTCCTACTAAGACTCTTCTGTTGCATTCGGTTTCTTTTCTTTACACAATGTACACCTGCAGATATTTACATACAGTAATCACTTGATTAATGTACAGCATTACTTGAAAAGGGATTGGACAGAATTTGATTGAGTAAAACGACATGTCTTAACTTCATGAATTACTGGATTGTAGATAGCTGACCTATTTAACAATATAAAAGTTAAAAGATACGGTAAAATTTCCAATGAGATCACTTTCCCCAAAAAACCACATTTCACCAAAACTACATGTCACATTACGATAATCAACAACGAGGAAAATCCATAAAGTTCATTTCATTAAAGGTGCAAAGTTCACCGCACAACATGTGCATCTCGACAAGTAGTGTTAAATCAGTGACACTAGAAGCCTAAATATTCGGAAATCCAAAACCTGATCCAAACAGGGTATACGTCTATCAAAGGTCCCGGAATGACGAAATGTGATATAGTTCAAAACAGAAAATCAACTGTATAGTCAATAATTTTTGAAAGGTATCTTTAGTTTATTGATTCATACTCAAACAATAAACGACAATCCAATAATGGTTCTTACCAACCAACCCCAACTACTTGATAACAACTTTAGGGCTTAAACAGATACACAAATAATGTGGCGGGGTTGTTTGTAAGCGCCCAAACAAAATGTTACCCTTACCTGCAGCAGTGATGTAACACCAGAATATTAGAACAAAAAAACCAAAACAAATTTAAATGGATTTAATTCCCGGATCGATGTTAAGCACAAAAAAATACGAAAAATTAAAGACAAATGCAAAAAAAACTCATCAGTCGAAAATAAACTGATAACCCCATGGCAAAAAAAGAAAGAAAAAGAACAGTAGATGGAGAGATGGAGAGTTGTCTCATTTGCATTCATATCACATCTTCTTATTTATACAATAGACAAACAACCGTATACAAAACAAACCATAGAAAACTAAAAACTGAGCAACACGATCCGCACCAAAATCGGAAGTGGTCTCATGTGCTCCGGAAGGGTAAGCAGAAACTGCTGCAACTGTTTTCATTCGAGCGCCAATAGTGTTTCTTATGCAGACGAAACGCACGTCTAGTGTAGTACATTTATAAGTCTTTTATATTTGAGCAGTAGCTTTTTAAAGGACTGAAAATTAGAAAAGAAGACAATATCACTTTTGATGTCAAATTTATAAATTTGAACTTTTAAATTTTGAATACTAGTATACCGTACTTGATGCTGACATATTCTAATAACGTATTGAAAGTTACAGCCCCAAACAGGATAGAATTATCTTTATTCACATTCTGTATGTGCCTGTCCCGAGTCAGGATCATGTCTCAAGTCAGGAACCTGTATGTCAGTGGTTGTCGTTGATTCATGTCCGTCATTTTTGATTTTCTGAAATTTTTTTGTTAGAAATTAAGCCGTTAGTTTTCTCAATTTAATTGTTACATATGTTTCATGTTAAGGCCTATGTTTTTATAGTAATTAAGATTATAAGACAATGTTGACTGCTTTACCTCTATTTTTGACATTTTTACCTATTATGTCTGTTTGTTCTGTTCACACATTTTTGTCAATATAATGGAATTATATGCGACTGTCATACAAGTATGAGGATTAGCTAGCTATAAAACCAGGTTAAATCCACCATTTTGTACATAAGAAAATGTCTGTAAAAGTCAGGAATATGACAGTTGTTTTTTTCCAATCGTTTGATGTGTTTGAGCTTTTGATTTTGCCATGTGATAAGGGACTTTCCGATTTGAATTTTCTCGGAGTTCGGTATTTTTGTTAGTTTACTTTTTTTTCACACAATATTATTACATTCCTCATGTGTATATTTTATTTCCTGGAAAATCCGAGGAAATCTATCGCGATTGTTATTCTAAACTTATTTCAGGTTTATGATTGATTTTCTAAGCTCAATTTAGTTTGTGTAGATGAACAAATTGTTTTAACCAACCGCGGTTTCTACATCCTAGGCTTCCATATGTTTGTGTTTGAGCATTCATGATGAAGTTTGAATAAAACAAGCGCGTTGAACACATGAAATTCATAATTGTTTATTTTCTATTTACAGTTCGTGTTGACTTTGAAAAATCATGTTTTTAGACTCGCGGATGTTAAAGTTTTTGTCTGACTAAAGCATGGTGGCGAAATATTCAGTCAGTATAATACTCTAAGGAATACAAATTGTACTTGCGAAGTAGAAAAATAGTTATATAAATTTCTGCATAAAAAACCAACACTAAAATATTATGTTGATAAAGATCAAATTTCCTTTAGAAAAAGCGTCCTGAAAATTGAAAACTAGTATATGCATTTTCCTCATTTTTGAAGACCGTACGAATGCCTTTAATTGCCAATATCAACTTCATTTCAACTTTGGTGGATATTTAACTCATTGGCAATCATACCACATCTTTTTGTTATTTAGAATCAAGATTTTTATGACAATTGTGTATCGAATGATATTTCTTTGTATGAATAGTTGATTCTCAGAACAATTACTCCATGCAGAAATTTCAAATTAATGTAGAAGTGCTTATTAATAGAATAGTGAAAACCTCGGGGACAGAACGTCAACCAGAGTGGCATCGACACAGTTACTGTTATAAATCATGAAAGACACCATGCTAAATCTGAAAATATACATACCTAGAAGCTTAAGAAAAACATTAGTATTTCGAACAAGATTTCACATTTTTTGAACAGTTGATTAACAAAAAATGAGTGTTCTAAGATAAATTAAACTGAATTTTTACTTTTCTAAGTAATTCATCTTGATGTTATAGACTTGGGTTAAAGAATTAAATAAAGACAAGAAAAGAACAACTGCAAAAACAGGAAGATTTAAATTATGATGTTAATCAACAATTTAAGGATTTACAAGAGAGGACACGTCGATATCAACTCGAAAATAATCAGACTGAAGAAAGGTATCAACTTGTTTGTAAGGAGATGGATGACTTAAAACTCAGGTAGATACGAAAAATACAAATGCAGTATGAATCTGGTAATATCTTTTGAAAATGTAGCCTCGGTTACAAATATATCATTGCATTATGATGGTCAAGATAAGCAAAATTCTATAGAGTCTCTGTCAACCCGTAACCTGACGCAGGTCATGACAAAAAAACGTTCCCGACAAAATGGACTTAAAATTGATGTAGAAATATCTCAAATGGTTTTAAACAGACATGTAGGTTACGTGAAATCTGCAAAGTGCAATTTTTATTATATTTGACACAATCAGGCATGGCTTTATAAATTATTTATACAGAGAGAGAAGGGGAAGGAGATAATGAAGATATGTGAAACAGCAAACCATACGATGAACATTCAAAAATAGAATTAAATAAAACTAAGAATTAGCTTAATGACTATATTAAACATACAGTTTGATCAATAGGCACAGATAGTACATACTGAGTTATGATAACAAAATTTTCAAATAAAATAGTAAAAAAACATGATTGAATATTAGCAAGGAAGCATTTAAGAAAAACCCAAAAAATTTACAATATCGATACCATTGCAAAATAAAGATAGTTTCGATAAAACTAGTGGATGGTTGGTTGGCTTTTTGTTCAAGTTGCACGCTAAACTTTTAAACAAATTTAATTGACAAAAGTAGTAATTGACTATATTGATTGTAGAATACAACAAGATTTTCATCAATTAAATCAGAAAGATGAAGTAATAACAAATCTAGAAAAGATGAATTGTCACCAAAAAGATGCGATCGATAACCAAGAAGAAGTAATTATGGTCCTTTGTAAAGAGAATGACGATCTACAAACGAGGTTTGTATTATTTCAATAATCTGATTTTCAATCAGAATGGATAACAGGATTATGTATGATACTTTGTTTTCTCTAAAATTGAGTACAATGTTAAGCCTTGATCTCTTTATATTAATTTTATACCTTGTAGTTAGTACAAGCTAGTATCTATATAAATTTGCCGTTGTTGTTATTTGGACAATGCTTGTCGACTTAAGTAGTCACTCGTGTGTAAATATTTTTAAGAAATCGTCTAAATCACTTCTAAACACCTTGTGTCAACCGGAACAGACCTTTGCTCTGAAAAAAAACTTGGGTATTTGTACTTAAATTCATAGAATAACATTAAGCAGTTTTTATGGCCATTTTCCAAATCTGTATTGGAAAAATTAATTGATAAGATTTTCCTGCACACATCAGGTGTTTATAGATAACATTCATTATGCACAGTCGTGAGCAAAAAAAAACCAAAAATGTACAAATTTAAATTAATAAAAATAAAAACAACTTAAAACAAAAAACAAATACGATTTGTTTAACTGTTTCTGAATTCATTCACACTATTTTTTTTAAACCCAAATAATTAAAGATGTAATGTAGTATTCGTTGTATATGTAGTTTAACCCAATCGCAATTTCATTGTGTCTGTCCTAAGTCAGGAGCCTGTAGTTAAGTAGTTGTCATTGGTTGTCGTCTGTTAAATTCACTTTGTGTTTATTGTTTTGTCATGAATCAGGCCGATGTTTCTTTCTTGTTTAAACTGTTTCAAAATTTGACAAGTTGTTGCCTCTTATTACTAACTATATATAGTTATCAAAGGTACCAGGTTTCGGTTTTATTGCTGACTATACGGTATGAGTTTTGCTTATTGTTGAAATATGACTGCTTAAATATACACCATATTTGGTGTATAAGCTCTTCGTTTTTTAATACGATTTAGGTTTTCAATTGGTGTAGAACAAATGGTACTGTTAATGTTATTATTTTGACTCTTTGGATAGTAGTCTCATCGAAAATCATACCACATTTCCCTTCATGTATTCATTTCAAATAACATGTAAAGAAAGTTAAAACTTTGAAAAATAAATTTGCATGCCAAAGAGAGGCGAAAGATACCAAAGGGATATTCAAACTCATAAGTCAAAAATAAACTGACTAAAACTTGCTAAAAAAGATAAAAACCAAGAGACAAACAACAGTACACACAACACAACATAGAAAATTAAAGACTGAGCAACACCAACATCAGCCAACGATGTAAAAATATTCTGATGTGTGCTTATGTTATGATTATTTTTATACAACGTAGGATTACTCCTTTTAATGCTCAAACAAGATTTGTAAAGTTGATAAAAAAAACAGTTTTTATTAGGCAAATGATTAAAATATGCAGAAAATATATAGTAATCACCGTTCTACAAAACTGATGAAATTGGTATTTTGCATGTTAGTTGTAGCTTTATACAGTAACTTCAGATTTAGTGCATTCATAGATTGAGAAAAAAATTATATTTTTTTTCTCTGATATAACCTATAAAAACTTTTACATTTCAAAGAAAGGAAATAAACAATTTTACTACATGACCTTAATTATATTTTTTCATATCGGTACAATTTTAAACGAAATTTCTACGTGTCAATTTTATATATTTTGCAAAAATTTACATTGTAAATATAAATTGTTAAATTAGAGGCAATAGTTGATCATCGACGTCCGTCAGTCGCAAATCCATTTAGAATAATTGTATTATCATACATTTATTCTATGTATTATCAGATGATTAAGAACGTGATATATACTGGTGTCAAACATACATTGAACGTCCGAAAACAAATTTCTAAGATTTACAAACTAAGGTTTCAAGTTGCAGTTTTTCAAAGTCGTGATAGATAATACATTCGAAGATAAGCTGTGGTATTGAACTCCAAAAGCCGGACGTTTGCAGGTTTCTTTTACGAATTTTCGTATGTGTCAGTATAAGTGGAATACGTGGTAAAATATTTCTCTAATCCTTAATTATCTAGAAAACAGTTTTGTTTCAATGGTGAGCACCTCTTTATATAGTTACAAACAAATGAAAACAACTGTCCATATGGTACAAAAATGAGGTCTACTGCTGCCCAGAGTTATGATAACAGCCATTTCAAATGTTAACAATAATTATTATGACGTAATCTAGTGGGGTGACATAATCCAGATATCAATATCTCAACTGCCGTCAAAAGAAAGCGCTACCGATGGCTAGTTCTGGTATCGCGTTTATTTAATTAATTTGTTGCATAAATAAATAAAACTCGTCGGAAAGAGTGCAAATTGTTCTTTAACTGCTATTCCAGCTTATGGTTCCAAAAGATCACATTAAAACACAATAACGTTTGTTCATGGATCTTGAAGAGGTTTCAAACGACAAATTGAATATATTTCAACGCTCTGAAAACATAAACTTTGTTCAATTACATTTGTAGCTAAATAGCAAGCAGATAAAGTTAATGTGTTTTGTTCGGTTGAATATCTTCTCCATCTTTGTTAGATTGAGCAGTGTTGCAGGTGAAAAGTTAACGAAAGGAAATCCAGCTATTACAGATCTAATCCTAATCGTCCAATGAAAATTGGTGAGAAGTACGGTGAATTGTATGACAACGAATGGACGGATGCTTTGGAGAACATTAAAAGTGTAAAAAAGTACTACCATGGTCTGAAAGATTCGGAAATAGAGGAAATAATCATACATCATCTGCACAGATTATTGAAAGTAAATTTTAGATATATATTTACTAAATTCTTTAAGGGCTGTTTATAAGATAAATTTAGACCTCAAAACCCCAAATATAATGGCTTTAAGTCTAATATGATGTTCAGTATAATAGTTTAATTCCAACTGAATTATGAATTTTGTCTAGCTACAGATTTGAGGCTTCTTGTATAAAAGTTTTTATCGGGAACATAAAAACTAACTCTCGAATATAAGATTAATGCATCCAGTTATCGGGTTTTTTATTTTGGGCGTTCCAGGTGCAGATGGGTCAAGAGATGCGATTCGGATGCACGAGATTTTTATTTCATTTTGTTTACTCTTGTTATCATATTTTACTTAATTTGAACTTTATCGAGAAAGTGTGTACTATGTGCTATCAACTATTAAAACTTTCTTGTTGGTGTCTTTGTCAGATGAACTATCAACCTTACAAAATTATTTTTTGTTGGCGTCTTTGTCAAGTTTTACTATCAACTACAACAACTTTTTTGCTGCGTCTGTGATAGATTTATTTGTATGTTTGTTTGAATGCTTTAGTCATTTGTGTTTTATGTCTGTGATGTATGTTTACACAGTTTTGGCTGCTTGATCTTAATTGTTGTCACATTAACCCATTATGTCTGTTTTGGATTGCTCGCCCAATTGTTTCAATATAACGGAACTTTAAACAACTGTCATACAAATGGGGTGTTTGGCTAGCTATACAACTAGGTCTTCTGAAAATGCCTGTACCAAGTCAGGAATATGACAATTGTTTTCTATTCGTATCGTTGATTTATAAAGTCTAACGTTTGATTTTCGCAGATTTTAAGTTAGCTCGGGGATCGGTATTTTGTTATACTTTTTTGATTAATATATGATACGTTAAGCTTTAATTTACTAGATAACAATTAGACTTCCTCCGTTGAATTAACATAAAACAAAATTTTACCTTCAAACATCTCTTCGATATGTCTTTTCAATACATTACAATTCATAAAAACGTGTATCAGTATCTGTATCGTACTCCTATTCTTATCAGATCACACAGGAAATGTATTATAACAAGACAATAACATCTTCCTATATCTACATCTATCTGACCTCGATGAGAGGACTTGTTCAAAATTTATGTTTTAAGATGGCAACAAGGTCAATAAAGAAAATGGTAAACATTATTTTCTGTAAGAAATATTTCGAGTAGGTTGATAAATAATAATTCTAATATGACGACATATAGACCAATGTATAGTCAACCAGTATAATCCGTATAATCACAGTATAACTACTTTTACCGCAAACGCATTATTACACAAAATTGGCTGTTCTGCGTTACTCCCAGGTTATTTATACGACCAGGTAAACTCAATTTGCGACAGTAAAATCTACGTTTACGTATGTTAAGCTTCAAGTGCAATACGGTTATCTCTATTATAATGCAAAAATAAACAAATCAGCCGATTTTAATTATTATTTCTGTGGAATAAATCCGCCAAATGTTGTTATTTTCGTTGTCAACTAAACATGTTTAGGTCATATGTATGCCTCCGATGTCAAATGTTCACACGTAGCGTTTCCAGGCTTCTTGTACGCCTCAAAATGTAATAAAATTAGATAAAAAGAACATTCTTAGGTGAAAAATGTGAGCTTTTAAAATTTATTATTGAAGAATATTATATTATTAATATTATTATATTGGGGGTAAAACGGATCGGCCAAAACAGTATCGTGTGTACGGGCCTTTCACGGTTAACAAAAAAAATACCGTATTTGTCTTATAAGATTCGAAATAATTCATGGCATCCGTAGATTTGTTTTCATTCAACCATGGGTTGGGCATTTATATTCGTATTTTACTATTTCTCGGAATAAAATAATCGAATATAAATGCCCAACCCATGTTTAAATAAAAAAAAATCTACGGCTGCCACGAATTATTTCTTAAATCAAATTAGAATTGATAAAATTAATCAAAATAATTATCAAAATTATTATCCGATACACCTAATTTGAAGTTTCTGTCAGTGTACTAAATCCAAAGTCTTATGAGAGAGGCGGATTTATTAGAGTTTTTTCAAAATATGTTTCCGAATCCCATATTTTACTGCAAAGTAATATTGTACTATTCCATCGTTATAATTTTGGACAATAACTACTTTTTAAACTAAAGTCATATGCAATTGTTTTCAAACTGATGACAAAAGTACGAAGACGAAGCTACGTGTAATATTTACTAATAATAATTTATTTTACAATAATTGGTTCAGGTAAATTCTTCATACAAAAATATTCCCCACCACAAAAGAACAAGTAAAAGGACCTAATTTTCAAACTCTATTGACATATTTACAACTCTTCGTCTAATTATATTGCTTGATTTTTACATCTTTCAATTTTCTAGTCAATACTTTTGGTGTGCACTAAATACATTTGCACGGATATCCACAAAGCTATGATGACATTGTATTGTACCGAAGGCATTGTATGGGAAACAATAAAAGCCAAATATACTTTTTATTGAATCCAAATTATAGACGAGTGACATTAACCATAAAATTTCATTTTTAATGCAACCATATAACATACGGCTAAACCATATACCATTCGAAAGCACATAATCTTTACTATCTTTTTTGCCCGGCCGTCAAATATTCGTATGGTGCAATTTCCGTCAAATCACGATGAAAGGTCAAGGACAGACAATTTCTAATTATACAAGATGTCAGCATTTTTGCATATTCTGTCTTCTGAATAATGATATTTTGTATGGAAATAGAACAGATAATGATAGTTACTTATCAAAAGCACTTTGAAATATCAATATCGGATTTTTAACAAATAGCGCCGTTTTCCAGAAATTCCTGTGAAAATGATAAAAATGCGTGAAAACCAAACTTTTTGTCTGTGATTCAATTGATATTCACCATAAAACCAAATAACATATTTTATTTGGTGCTTAGGATGTTTTTGACATCATCAAATTACTGCAATTACGCTTCTTGTTATTTAAACAGCCAATTATAACAACCCATGCAGTTGCCCAAAATACCGTCATCTGCAAAAAGATATCCTTTTTAGCTGTTCTATGTTAAAACAAATTGTATGTAGTCAATATTAGGTTGAAAAAACATAAATCTTAAAAGTGTAAAAAGGTTAAAAGGATATAATACGCAGGAAATTCATGCTTTTAGGGCAAAGGTTTGGGAGCGAAATTTTTTCAATATTTATATGTTTTCTTGGTAGCTTATACTGAAGTGAAAGCTATTATAAGCTAGTCGCTGAAAATGTTCTTTATAACTGGCCGAAGTATTTAATCCTATCAAACTACGTAATTGCTTGTAAATAAATCGAGACATGTTGCAATCATATTTACTTACATTATTTTTTTTGATTTGGAAATTCTAGCAATTCGCTATAACAATACTTACACTTCCTGAATAGTCAACCTCTTACCAAACAAAGCAGTTTTGATATTAATGTTTACTTCAGCACATGTTGCAAATTAATTTGCTTAATAGAAAGTGAAATACAAATGCATTTGAACCACTTTCCTTTCAAATTTATTTGCTCATGGTTTAGCATGTAAATTTCAATGTCGATGTGCAACATATTAATATTTTCATTTAAGGTATTCAGAAAAACAGAGCGCTATTTTAGTAGATCGTCTGTCAAGCATTGATTAAATATTGGCATATTTTAAAAGATAGTTCATGGACGTTAAGAATATATATAGTTAAAATGAAGTTATTTTATTCTAAAATATTTATACAATTGTGAGAAATGAAAATTGTGGTTGAATTTATCAATGTTTTAATTGATTTTAGTGCGAAGATCTTAAAACAATAATAAGTGATATTAATTGACATGAAAAAAACGTACAAAATGGTATGTATAAGTGTAAAAAACATACTAGTAGGTTAAAATAACCTGACTAAAATTCAGATCTACCACGACTCGCCTGCTCATATATCGTATGAGGATGACGAAATCAGAGATCAGATTTTAATTAGAGTGCGGGTAACTTTATGAGATAGCTTAAAAGCAGGTATGTTATGGTAAATTTGAAGTGCTTACTATTTTTAATTCTTTTTGAAGACAAAAATCCCTTCATGTACAACCTCCATATGTGCACTTTTAAACTTTGAACTTCACCAAAATCTACCAAGCAATGTAGGCGGAATATTGCTCATTACAAAGTTTTTTTAGACTAACTATTTGATTTATGAATGGAACGAACAAATGAAAAATGACTTAAGGACAAGATGATTCCTACATTTCCGCTATATTATAGAGAGAGAGAGAGAAAGAGAGAGAGAGAGACGAGGTTTATAACAATTGTTTTCCATTCGTATGATGTGTTTGAGCTTTTGGTGTTGTCATTTGATAATGGAATTTCCGTTTTGAATTTCCTTAGAGTTCGGTATTTTTGTTGTTTTACTTTTTTTATATCTTGCATCGATATCTGAGTTTAAAGTTCTGTTGTCTTTTATTCGCTCAGCTTTGAACCATCTGGTTTACTTTTCTTTTGTTGAAAGAAGAAAGAATATGACAAGGAAGCCAAAAAAAAGCAAAATGATCCCTATTTGCAGATGGTGTTTTTAAGGCAACTGCAAAACTTCACTAGAAGGCTGCATTCTGACCTATATCATATTAATTGCAGTTTAAAATGATGAAAAAATTCTCTTGGCCTATAAACGATAAATCCATTCTATTTTTGTCATATAAATATTCAAACCTCAGGAATCATTTAGCTTTTATTGCAATTTTATCATTCTTGGAAGTTTTTTCAAGAAATGCAATTTTCTGTAAATATTGCGCAATCAGGTTCAGATAATTTTAAGAAAAAAAAATATCATACAAGTACTAGAAAAGGGCATTTTGTTTAATTCTACCAAAATTTAGGAATGTTCAGT